AATAGGTTTCTGTTTACAGGGACTGGGAAGATGCTGGAGAAAGAACCTTTTTACCAACAGCTCCTTGAAGCCCAAGGTGTGAAACAGCAAGCGCACTGCCAGGAGGAGCCTTCCAGGGCCAAGTGAGGCTGAATATAGCTGCCTTCCTATTTCATACAAAGCCCTGGAGGCTCCTGGGCTGCTCTGTCCACCTCAGCAGCAACTCTAGGACACCACACCCTCCTCACCTCCTCCCACTGGGCCTGGAACAGAGCTAAGCAGGTCCTGAGCCCAGGACAGAGGCCTGGGATGGGTTGAAGGCCCTCACAGAACTGAGTTAAACACAGGGGTGGCATCTCTGGCCAGACAGGGATATCTGTGACTCTAGACCCTGAGCCAGACTTTGTGGGAGAGTTTCCCAGGCAAGCCAGACTCCAGAGAAGATTCCAGCCCCCAAGTCAAGAGGGGTGGCCCCTGGCTTGGCTCCAGGCCCAGGTCCTGTTGAGACATAGTCCCAAATATCAGTTGCAGGGTTCTGGGTCCCAGTATCACTTCCTGATCAATGTCCCCCAGACAGACCAACAGCAATTGCCAAGCACCATGAGAAAAGGCCACTATTGACCCCTCCCTCTTTTCTTTCCACTCACACCCTCCTGGCAGCCACTTCAAACACTAAGAGGGTTGACCGTGGATGCAGGTAGTGTCCAGGGGCCTGAAATCTCAAGGACGGAGACTTGTCTCTCTGCTGCTGAAAAGTATGTATGCATCTATGTGAACATGTGCATATGTATGCACATATGTGATGTGTGAGTGGGTACATGCATGCATGTAGGCATGCCTGTGTCTGTGTATATATGTGTCCTTGTGTGTACATGTACGTGTGTGTGCATGCATGTGCATAGCTATGCATTGTGTGCATATGCACAGTATACATGTTTAGGTTTGAATATGCATGTGCACTGTGCACATTTGTAATGTGTATGTGTATATATGTGTATGAACATACTGTACACATGTGTCTACATGAATGTACATGTGTCCCTTGTGCTGATGTGTGAGCATGCATGTGCATGCATATGTGTATGTTTGTGCATACGAGTGTGAGTGCGTCTTCTTAGATGCACTGATGTCATGCATCCAGGTGCTGGTATGCAGTGACAAGAGCCACAGCCAGCTGAGCCTGGGGAATCATTCCTGGCCAGTGTGCCTGGCACTTCCTGGATCACCCCCTGGTTCTGCTGTATCCCACCCTGTGTTTCTCTTCTTTGTTCAGTCCCTTTATTATCACTGCTGCTCTGTGGACAGGGCTGTCAGGCACACAGAGAACAGTGAGCTACCCAAATCACAGAGCCAGAGAGTGTTGGAGCTGGAACTCACACCCTGGCACCCCAAGCATACCCACAGCAAGGCGGGCCTTACCAAAGACTATACAGCTTGGAGACAAGGATTCCAGCGGGGAGCAGAGTCTGTGTTCCTTGGGCCTCAATAACCTGCCCAGAGATGCACTTCTAGAACTTGAGGGAATAAATACCAACTCCCGAAGCTTGGGTGATGGAACCTTGTCCCTCAGAACCAGGGCACCTCGTGGGTGGCACCCTGTGATTCGGGGGGGCCCCGGCCATAGCCCACAGGGCATGCTTTGAGCATGACCCCTGGCCCTGCCCTGTGAGCTAAGGCAGAGCAGCCACCTCTCTGAGTCTCTGGTGGAAACCCAGCTCTTCACATTAGGCCAATCTTTCCAGATCACCATGTTAGTCACTAGGAACAGCACACGGAAGACCCTCCCTCCCCCAAGGAATGCAGGTGGGAGACCTGGACCACACTGGTATGTCAAGTCACAACAAGGTCAGGGAAGCCCACTGGGAGCAGGGTGATGAGCCCTGCCCTCAGGAGCCACCAGCAAAATAGGCAGCAGCAGGGTGACCCATACATTCTCACTTTCCCCTGCTCTTAGCTGTACCCTGAGATTCTTGGCACCACCTCCCCACAAGTCTGTTTACTTTTGAGATTTCTCTACAGGTCACAGGATGGCCTTGTGGTCAGGCACTGGACCCCAGTCTTTCTGCTTTATCTGTTTCATGATCCACTGGGACCCAGTAACAATCTCTACCACCACTACTCCAACCATCTGAGCAGCTTCCTGGCTCACTTTCACAGCTGTGTGCCCTCAGGCAAATCTCTCAACCTCTCTGAGCCTCTGTGGCTCCATCTGCTTTATTTAAAAATGGTAATACAAAATAGGTACCTATCTTGAGTATCAGTGTTCAAATGCATTTGATCTGTGTGCAAGAACCTTTGTGAGCATCTGGGAGAGCCCAGCCCTTCCCTCATGAAGGTTAGTTCCATGCAGATTGGAACAGGTAGCTGACAGCACCCCATGAAAAGGCTGCTTGTGTTCATCCCCTGGCCCCTTCCCTGGCCTTTCCCTCTCAAAGTGGTGAGCTCCCCCTGCAAAGCATCCTGGAAAAAAAAACTCCTGATGCTGGAGTGCCGCAGTGGCAGTCACCCGTTTTTCCTTCCTTTTCTTCTCTGCCTAGTGCTCATAAAGCAGTCACCCCTACAAGCCCATCCCTGGGGCATGTGGCACAGCATCTTCCCCTTCTCCCCAGCATGAGATGCCCATGCAGGGAGCACCTACACCCCTTTCCTGTGACATAGCTGCTTACCCTGTCCTTTCCTGTCCCCAAACTCCTCTTTATTATCGGAGGCAATCTCAACATAATCAGGATGCACCTGCTTCAGAACTGTGAGACCTGGAACCTCAAGTGTGGACCCCTTTCTGTAACACCAGAAAGATGGGGTGTTCAGATCTCAGCAGACCCCATTTCCATCCCTTTCTGCTAGAGTCAATGGCAGCTGTTCATAGCCAGCCCAGCTCCCAGAGTCTGGAAAATTTTGTCCTTTTCTTCTCTCTGACATCTACAAACCATCTGGCTTGGGAGAAGTCAAGGGCCTATATAGTATTAGCTTTCAGTGGATGGCAGCCCCAGCCTGCAGCTGTGGATCCCCATAGGTCAGAGGTCATGGCCATGGTCTCCTGCGTGGGTGCTTAACTGGGTATTTGACATTTGAAGCACAGCTGGGTTTTTCCTGTCCACTGGTGTCCATGTATCTCCAATGTTACCCAACACGGTTCCATCCCTTCCAGGGGAAGCTATGTGTGGGTGTGGGGCAACATCCAGAACTCAGTGGGCTTTATCCTCAAAGTGTCCCTGACACACCAGCATCTCTGTCCAGTCTGAACAGAGCAGGGGCCGAAGGACAGCAGGAGGTGAGGGTCTGGCCTGCAACACAGAAATTAGAATAAATTTTATTGCAATGTTTTAAAGTAAAAACAAATGTAGACAATTTGTAAAGGTCAAAACATGAAAGGGTTTTAAAAATATTTTATTCATGATTTTTATTTTTAATTTTTAAATTTTTTTGGTCTTTTTGAGACAAGGTCTCCCTATAGCTCCAGCTGGCCTTGAACTCACTATACAGACCAGGCTAGCATTGAACTCACAGAGATCCGCTGCCTCTGCCTCCTGAGTGCTGGGATTAAAGGCATGTGCCACCACACCTGGCTTATTTTTTAATATTTTATTTATTTTTATTTTATGTGCATGAGTGCATTGCCTGCATGTATATAAGTATACCTGTGCTCACGGAGGTCAGAAGAGGGCATCAGATCCCCTGGAACTGGAGTTTTAGATGGTAGTTAGCTACCATGTGGGTGCTAGAAATCTAACCCAGGTCCTCTGTGGAGGACTGTGCTCAGGGGCTTCAGGATCCTGAGCCCTGGAAGCTTGCGCAGTCCTGTGGGCTGGGGTGGGCAGCACTGGGAGGCAAAACTCTGTCCTTCATATTCTGGAAAGTCCTGGCCCTACCTTTGTCCTCTGAAAATCAGCAATCCAGCCCCATTTCTAGTCAAGGGGCCTTTGGGTTCAGAATCACAGCAGCAGAGCTGCTTCTACACAGCTGTTTTCTACTTTTTGCTCTAGAACATTCCAGATAGTGAAGGTTCTTATGGGCTCCACCCAGATAGCTGAAGTCTCACATGCTTTCCTGAATGACAAAGAGGCTGTAAGCTCTTCTGGGAAAGAGCCCAGCTTGCCACCCTGCTGGCTGTCAGAAGCCACTCACTGCTCCCGGGGGCACCTTGCTCTCTCTGCCTCAGGGCCTTATACTCTGCCATTCCCTCCACTGGAATTCAGTTGAACTGTCACTTCCTCCGAGAGGCCCTCCCTGGTTGCTTGGCATAACCCTCTGATTGTAACACTAGTGGAACCTTTGATGAGCTCCAGCCTACCTTCCCTGGCACACCCATATCTCCCCCTCCCACTGGGCCTGTGCCTACCTAGGTCTAGGCACACCTGGGGGGCCACCCTCCAGCAAGGAGGCCTAAAGAGCTCCCTGACTCCCTGTCTCTTTGTGTCCTGCAGACACTGGGCAGATGGAATAGCAAATGTCCTCTCCCTCGTCCTGCCCACTGGTCTGCATACCACCACACCAGCCTTTGCCTGCCCCACTAGGAAAGCAATGTGCAGGTGTCCAGGCTCCTGTGCACAGATGCAAGGTGGAGGCAGATTGGTGGGAACCCTGTCAGTCCCTGCCAGGAAAGCAGGCAGAGGAGAAGTGTGTCCTGTTCTTGTGGTAGGATGGAAAACGGGACAAAATAGGTGGCACCCATGTCCCTAAGTGAGACCTGTCTAGAGAAATACGACCCCATCAGGCTTCTGGAAATGTCTCCCCTTCGCCCCCAAAGCTTTCCCCAGGGCTGGAGAATCAGCCTGCCTGTAATGTCACTTGAAGCAAAAACAGAGTCTAGGTGGAAGGAAAGACCAGTCCTGGAGGGAGACCAGTTACAGGAGGGTCTTTACCTGAGAACTTTAACTGTCTCCCACTGTAAATGACAACACCTCCCCCAGAGGTTCCTGAGGATGCTCCCCTTGGGGCTCAGGTGAGATGACCTTCCCTGCAGTGGTCCCCATAACTTCAGCTTTCGGTCATTGCTGGGGTGGCTGTGTACTAGGCCAGTGCTCAAGCCCGCCTGGGGTGACTGTTCTGGGTTGGGGACCCCGCAGTCCTCACTCTGCCCTCGTCCAGTGGGTGGCCAGAGGCGGGAGCTGCAGCTGGAGGCTCTGTCCTGGCGCTGCCCACCCTGCAGGCGGCAGAGGGCGGGGGGAGGAGGCGGCGCCTAGAAAAGGAGGCGCGCCGCGGGATGGGTCGCAGGGCTGGGATCGGATCTCATCATCGCCTAGCGGGTCTGAGCAGTAACGCAGGCCGGAGCCTTAGTCCGGCCCAGCCCTGGAGGCACCCGGAGCCTGCATCCCGAGCCCGCCAGACATGGTGGGCCACCTACCTCTGCAGGCCATGGGGGACACGCGGGAGCATAGCCGCGATGGCTTGCTGGACAGTCCTGACTCGGGGCTGCCCCCTAGCCCCAGCCCTAGCCCGCCCTTCTATGCCCTGTCGCCTGGCACCCTGGAAACCCGCTCTACCACTGAACCCCCTGGACCCAACGAGGTGCGACCGGTAAGACTCGGCTACGGGCAGTGGGCAGTGGGAGGGTCAGGCAGCCATGACCCTGCTTGGGTCACTGCAGAAACCAGCTCTGGCCCCCTCCCTTGAAAGTAGAGGTGGCTGTGGGACAGCTGTGCGCCCCAGATGGCACCAGTGGAACAGTACTGGGCTCACTGGGACCTGTGGAACTGGATTCTCCCCCCAGCCATAGCAGGGGCTGGAGGGTCAGAATGCAGGGCAAAGTCCTGGCACCTCCAAGTCTGCTGTCTGCAAGGTGGGCTGAGCCCCATGATGCTATGCCCCCTCCCAGCTGCTACTGCCTCCTGTCCTGTTGACCAGCCCAGCCCTGCTAAATGGAGGCACTTTTAAAAACTTATCACAGGCTGAAAGCCTTAGCTTTTGAGGATATAGCCAGGGAGCTGCCCAGGATGGAACTCCATATCTGGAAACTCACAATCGCTGCTTGTTGGTGAACTCTTGGAGGGAAATGGCTCTGCAGCTGGACCTGCTGAGCCTTGGTTGCTCCAGCCATGGGGGCAAAGCAAGTAACCTGAGGGAAGGACAGGCTGAACCCACCAAGCAGAGGTGCACATGCCCTGCTGCACGTCCTATCCCTGCCACTCGATGGCCTGCTTTGGGTGTCTGACGATCTCTTCCACCAGGGTGTGTACAGCACAGCTACACTCTTCTGGGGACTCAGATACTTCCTAGGGCCATTGATGCTACCCGAGCTGACATTTTACCCCTAGAGTCTCCATCCCCCACCTTTAGTGGAACTTCATTTGTGCCTCCCTGGCTCCAGCGGTCCCCAGCTCAGCCACTTGATGGAAACACTTGGGGATTCTTTAGCAATGCCCAGCCTGCCACTTCTCCAGGCATTTTTGTTAAATCCATCTAGGGCATAATTTGGGCATCAGAACTTTTAAAATTTCCCCTGGTGACTCAAGGGTGTGGTGAAGTTTGAGAGCTGCTCTTGAAGTTGAACTTCTGCCTCTCCTTGGGGAGGTTGGGAGAGGGCAGGAGTTGCTAAAGGTGAGAGAGACTGTCTTCAGGAAAAGGAACATTGCTCCTGTGGCTTTGGCTCACCTGGTGCAGCCTCTGGGGACATGTGCCCGCTGCATCATGGCAGGGAAGAAATTCTTAGGGTGTCCTCAGGTTCAGAGAAAAGGGACTAGGAAGAAGAGTCTACTTGATTCTGTGTGACTCAGAAGCCTCCTTCTGCAGGGTGTTCTGGATGCTTCCTGTGCCTTATCCTGGCTAAGTTAGGTACCAGTTATAGAGCTGCACTGCCCTGATCTGAGTTTGGCAGGAAGGAATGGATGCCTGGGGCCATTTGTGCCCAGGTAATAAATGACACCTAGTATATAAATGGTGCTTCCTGTTCCCCTCACCCCCAGGCAATGGCCCTCCATACCAATTAAACTGTGTTTAATTCTCACAGTTTGCCTGTGAGTGCTTGCCTGCCCCTGATCTCTTTTTCTGGAGGAAAAATTGAAGCACAGAGAAGTTTAGCAAGTTGCCCAAAACTGCCCAGGGAACCTGGGTCTGACCTTCACTTAAACTTGCCACTGTGCCCATTTTTACATGGAGCTAGTTAATTGCCTTTAAATTTTTTTTAACAGAAAAACAAAATGTGTAGCTATAGGGTTGAGAGGTCCTGTTTTTAATCAAGAGAAGAAATGGTTGCCATGGCAACCTCTGCTCAGGTTTGGGGCTCCCTGCCCACCTACCCACCTACCAGTTAGCACCCACCAGAGTGTCACTTCCTTTAATTCCTGTTAAGTGCTGCCACTCCGGGGTCACCCTACTCCCCTGCAAAAACGTGTAGACAGACTGATGATTACCTATCTGTCGATCTTCTGTGTAGGGATCAAGGAAGGCACAGAACCACCCTGTATTTTGGGGCTGTGGTTTCAAATCAGGTGTCCCCTGGCATAACCCCTAGTGTTGTGCATCAGTCCACACAGAGCTGACACCCAGCAACACCACCTTTATGACCAAAGTAGGGGAGCCAGCTGCAGTCCTGTCCCCAAATCTTAGCTGTTGAGGTCCTTGTCTGGCCAGCCTCTTCATTATACCAGGCATGCCTGCCCTACCTCCTCATGTTAAACTCATCAACGATTTCCTCCACTTTTTCTTGTTTTGAGACAGAGTCTAAACATGCAGCCCAGGCTGGATTCTATAGCCTCAGCCTCCTGGATGTGAGTGCTGGGATTACAGGCATGTGCCCCCTATTGGCAAGGAGTTCCCCTGCTGTGTTTGGATATGCTCCAATAACCTCCCACTGATGCAAGGCTTCCAAGTCCCCCCACCCTGAACATAAAAGGCATTAAGGACCAGGTCAGGGAGGACTAAGGCCAGGGAGGACAGAGGCCAGGGAAGCTGGAGGCTGGGGAGGATTGAGGCTGGGGAAGGACAAAGGCTAGCGAGGATACATCTCCCCTCCCAAACCTGACCTTGGGCCTTTCTAACTCCATGAGCAGAGCTGGGAACATTCCTGAGGCCTTCTGAAGTCAGCAAAGACCTGGAGCAAGGCATTCGTCACCCCAGCATTTGCTGAATGTCTACTGCTGTCCAACTAGTATTTACTGAGTGCCTACTGTGTGGTCTGTGGCCATAGGGGACACAAAAATGAGAAGATATTCAAAGTCTCTGACTTTGTGGAACTGGTGCTCTAGTAGGGAGAAACAACCACCAATTTCAGTGTGTGACACAGTGTCAGATGTGACAGGCATCCCTGTGGATGTGAAATTACTGTAGACAGTCACCAACTTCACTGTGTGGCACAGTGTCAGATAATGTGACACACAACCCTGTGAAGGTGAAACTACTGTAAGACAGTCACCAACTTCAGTGTGTGGCACAGTATCAGATAATGTGACAGGCATCCCTGTCGAGGTATAACGACTGTAGATAGGCCATCAGGGAACCATGCCTCAAAGAAACCAGAACAAATCAGGGAGTGGATTTTAGGCTTATTATAGGGTTGAAGTGTCCAAGATCCTGAAGCAGGTACTGGGTGGGTCGGCCCCAAGGACAGGAGGAAGCACTTAGAGTCTAGAACAAGAGGAGGGATTGGGTCAGAGCCTGCTAGGCCAAGCTGAGGCCAGAAGCTAAAGTTTGGAGCACACCTTTACTCCCAGCATGTGGGAGGTAGGCAGATCTCTGTGAGACCAGCCTGGTCTACATAGTAAGTTCCAAGCCAGCCAGGCTACATAGTGAGACCCTGTCTCAAAAACAAAACAATAAAGAAACAAAAATTTAATTGTGCCTTTTATTTTTCAAAATTTACCATGAGCTCTCAGCACACCTCAAGTTAGGAACCCCTATCAGAGATGTAACTGAGAAGTGGGTGTGAGGAGTGAAGAAAGTGGCCTTGGGGTATGGTGGGGAACTGCTCTTCCACGTGGCCCCAAGGCAGCAAGATGCACTGGCTAGGGTGTGTGCTCCCTGCCCACTGCCCTGGAGGGCTCAGCCATATGGCAGGGCTGCTGCGGTGTGAGTAGACAGACACTAGCTCTGCCGCCCTGGGCTCCAAACTGGACTACTATCCCAAAGTGGTAAAATTCAGGTGCCCATGCCCATCTGCCTCCCTAACCCCAGCAGAGCTTTTAGCAGGTGGGTGGACATGATAGGGAGCCAGTCCACTCACTGAGAGGACAGGGTGTGTTTGTATGTGTGTGTGTCTGTCTGTGTGTATGTGTCTGTGACAACTGGCTCCCAGCATGGATAAGCAGGGTGTGTGTGTGTGTGTGTGTGTGTGTGTGTGTGTCTGTCTGTCTGTCTGTCTGTCTGTGTGACAACTGGCTCCCAGCATGGATAAGCAATTTGAAGAACTGGTTGGGTCTAGTCCTACTGTCTCCAGGGGACCTTTGGGATATGACCTGGGGCTCACTGGGTGTGTGCTTAGACCACCCCTGTATATGAAGGATCAGTCCCTCCTAGTCTGTTCATGATGGAGTCTAACTGTAGAAATTCAGGGTATAGTGTATTTCTGATGACACCTTAGATGGTTCCCAAGAAGAGGCTGGTTTCCTCCTTCCAGGTGGGAGCAGATCCCAGCTTGGATCCAAGTAGAGTGGAAGGGACATGGCATGGGTGTCACTACTTAGGGTCTTGGCTGTTACCCTTAGGACCCCTGTTTCCTCATTTTTGTGATAGTGGAAGTTGATATGAGAGAAAAAAAGGGATTGAGGGAACTAGTGCCTGATGGATGAATGGCTGGATAGATGGGCAGATGGACTGATAAATAGGCTAAGGACAGTTTGGTCACTGGCAGACTCCTAGGGGTGTTTCTGATGGGTGAGGTGTCTACACATGCTCAGGTGGAAGGGTAACCAGTATGTGGGGCAGGTGGGTAAACTGTTAAGGGAGGGAGGGAAAGCAGTGGATCTGCCTGAATTTCTAGCCTGGTCTGCTTAATCTCCATGATTTGGTCTCTAGTGAATGCCAGCAGTCCCTGTCAGCCCTCTGTGCCTGGCACACCTGTCAGAAACAGCCTACAACTTCAGTGTGGAGAGAAGACAGGCAGGCCACACCCTCACAGGTTCACTGACTAGAGGGTCTATGGAGACTGTAATAAGCTACCTTCTAGGAAAATACCTCAGGTGGGATTGGTTGGGATGGGATGCAGGAGATGGTTAGGGAGACTAACCATCCAGGTGCCACAAACAGGAGATTTAGGGCAGAAGCCTCTCTCATGGGTCTGGGGCCACACTACCAGAATCAAGGTATCAGTAAGTCTATGCTCTCTCTCCCTCCCTGGCCTCTGGTGGAACCTATGGATCTGTGACAGTCTGGCTCCCAGGGGCAATTTGTGACTTCAGAAACAACCTGTGGCTTCTTGTGGCAAGGTGTGGCTTTCGGTGGGAGCCCTAGGCTCCTGGAGGTACTGGCTCCTGAGGGGTGGGCAATCTGTGGCATCTGGTGACAATCTTTGGCATTCTGACTTCAAATGACATGCACCAGCATGTCTCTACTCCATTCTCATTTGACCTTCTTTCTGTGTTCCTGTACTGCCCCTTCTGTTTTTTGTTGTTTTTGAAACAGGGTCTCCCTGTAGCCCCAACTAGTCTGGAACTTGCTGTGTAGACCAGGCTGGCCTTGATCTCACAGAGATCTGCCTCCGTCTTCCAAGTGCTGGAATTAAAGGCATGGCGCCCAGCCTGTGTCCCTGTTTTTAAGGACACTAGTCATCCAGTCAGTACCCACCCTAACTCACACAACTTTACACCTGTAGAGAACCCATGTCCACAGGAGGTCCCACCTGTAGCATGGAGCTTTGATAGTCTTTCCAGCCTGCCTGCCTCCTGTGAAGCCCCATCTAGGGAACCCCTTCTCCCAACTGCACGGCTCTCATTGGTCTGTTTCCTGAGTTGGGTGCCAGGCTGTCTATAGCCTGTCTTGAGTTCTTGAGGCTTCAGGGCTCCTGGACTAAATAAGCAACACTCTTTCTATGGTCCCATGTAGCTGCTTAATGTGGCATGTGGAGACGGTAAGAAGGCCCCACGCTGGCCCAGGACCTGTGTCTAACAGCTCTGCAGGAGGATGCAGACTCAGGCTGCTGTGGTCCTGCCTTGCTTCAGCCTCATGTTCTCCCAGGCAAAGGTCAGTCAGCCCAGTCCAGCATGGGAGTGCTGAGTCTCAAATGCGTCTGATATGCAAAGACAACTGCATTTCATTTCATAATCCCAACATTTGGGAGGGTGAGACAGGAGGATTTCTGTGATCTCTAGGCCAACCTGGTCTACAGAGACCTTGTCACTCTGTAGAACAACAAAAAAGTTTAATTCCAATAGCAACAGAAGCTGCCACCGCCATCTTGAGAAAAGCCATTTGGTTCCCTTTCAAAGACCCCATGAGGCTTTGGGGGTGGGAAGACACACGTGGGGGTCCCGGCTATCTGGTCCCTCCAACAGCAGCCAGTGGGGCTATGTCTCTCCCTCACTGATGGGTGCTCACTGGTCCTGCCAGTTCCCTGGGTTGTGGCATGACCTGTGAGCTGCTGTGTGTTACAACACATGCTATTGTGATCTCTGTGTCCTGCTCAGTGGGGCTGTCACAGTGTGACACTGCTCACTCTGACACAGTATGTTAATCTCTGTGGCTTTGGGTTTTAAGCCCCATGTCACAGTACTCTAGCCAGGGGTGTTTACCATCACTGGGCTCCATCCAGGAGAGTGCATCAATCACCAGGCTGTATAGTCACAGCCCAGTGTCCTCAGAACCTCAGACCTGGCTGTGCTCAGGGCTGCCCTGACCCCACCCGACCTCTGCCTGCCCAGAAGACCAGGTGTTGGCCAGCTGCCCTGCTGGACTCTGGGCTTAGGAAGGAGCAGCCTGGGGGGTCTGGGCCAGCTGGGGGGAATTGACCCAGTTGGTGGAAGTTGATGTCTGGGGGCCCAGCCTTCACTCTCAGCCATTTGTTCCCTGCCCTGGTATCCCAGAGCCATGCCAAGCTCCCCCAGAGAACTGGCTATCCTGTGCCTCAGCTTGTTCTCCAGCCCCCGTATAGGCCTTGAATGCCGCCGGCACACCTCAGGTCACAGATACTCACACTGAGACCCTGCCAGTGGCAGCTGGAGGTCTGAGATTCTGCCCTGACCTTAGTGGCTACCACTCTGGGCCACCTACCTGTGCAGGGCTTTCTGTGCTCTAGGAGCCCAGTGACAGATGGGACAGATGCTGGGTTGTTGAGGACCCTAGTGTATAGTCTGGGGGTACCTGCCCAACCCTGCATGCCCCCAGAGTGCCCAAGCCCATTGTGCCTCTGGGACTGTGCTCCAGCAGAGGGTTGGTTACCTTCCATCCAATGCAGTTGGGCAGTCCAGCTGGGGCCAGCAAGGCACTTTATTTGCAGGATCTGCAGACCAGGCGGGTCCACAGACTGACTGCAGGGCAGGGCCAGTCACTCTTTTGTTGTTCTTCCTTAGGTTCTGGGTTCGATTCCCAGCACCCACATGGTGGCAAAAAACCATCCATAACTCCAGTTCCAGGGGATTTGTCACCCTCTATATGCAGGCAATACACTCATGCACATAAATAAAATTAATAAATAAAACATTAAAAAAAATGATAAACCAAAAACAAAACAACAAAAAAACCCAAAAACCCAAGCCTGTAACCAGGGTCTCCAATGCCAAAAGCTTCTGGGTGGGTGGCTGGTGGTTGTCACTCCTTTCTGTTGTGCCTTGCCCTGGACCCTTAGGCTCCCGACGCCCTGCCCCCAGGCCTTGCCCTGGTAGGCACCTAGGCTCTGCCCTATCTCCCAGCACCTCCAGCTGCCCTGTGGGCAGCTGAGCTGTTTTTCCAGTGGGGACTTTTGGCAAGCAATGCTATTCTGGCTCCCTCGGCTTGAATTGAGCTTTGTGTGCTTGTCTGGCAGAGTACCCAACAACATCCAGCCAGAATGGGGCAGCAATAGGTTGGCCACGGCCCAGGCAGCAGCCCCAGGAGTGCTGGAGTGTTGAATTATTTATTTTGATCCCCACCCCACCCCGAGTTCTCATGTCTCCCTGGTTGGCCTCAAACTCTCTATGTAGCTGAGGATGGCCTTGAACTTCTGATCCTTCTGCCTCTGCTTCCTGAGTGCTGGGATTATAGGTATGCACCTCTTTATGGGGTTCTGAAGATGGAATCTAGGGATTCGCATACTAGACAAGCGTCTACTGACTGAGCTGCAGCCCCAGCTCATGAACTGTTTATTTATTCCAGGAAAATCAAGGCGAGGCAGTGGGGCTGGGGATATGGCTCAGTAGCAGCAGCCTTGCTCAGCGTGCACAGGCTCTGCAATCAGTGCTACAGTAAAACACAGCCCAGAACAATGAAAAGAGTGCAGCTCAGCTCAGGCTCTGTCCTTGGATGATTAAAAGCTTCTTCTAAAAAATAATATATATATTATTATTATATATATCATTAAAAAATCATGAAAATTAAAAAAAAAAGCAGCAATATTCAAGTTTCCTGCCTCCGGGCCACCCACATATCTGAACAAAAGACCTGCCTCCAATGACATCCCTCCCATGACTCTTCTTCCTCTTCTGAGGCCACATGTGCTGTGCCTCTCATGTTTCCACAGGCCCAGGGCATAGTAGGTGCTCAGCACACTGCAAGTGCTTAGCAAACACCTGTGTATTTGGAGAAACATCAAGCTTCAGACAATCTAGTCACAGAACGCTGTGGCTGGCTGGGGTCAATGCTTCATCACTCAAGCCCCAGAGGCCACCAGATGGCTATAGATTTGACCCACTGTGACATGGTCTGGGGTTGCACAGGAGGTGAGTACCTCCACCCAATCCCAGGGACTGTGCATTAGTATCACTTGTGTGCCGAGGGCTGAATTGTGGCCCTCATGGGGCGGGAGGCACACTGGCAGACCTAGAAATTGGCATGAAACCTGGCCACTCCAGGGTTCCTGAATTAAGGCTGGGGGTGGGAGGCTGCTATGGGTGGCATACAACTAGTGCAGCCATGAGGGATTGTGACCATCTCCCCCATCCCCACGGCTCTGCACACAGGACCCTTCCCTCTTCCAAAATCCCCCTGCCCTGGAGATGAGGCCCCGGCTGCTGCCTGTGTTTTTCGGGGAGAGCATCAAGGTGGACCCAGAGCCTGTGCATGAAATCCGGTGAGTGGGCTGAGTCAGATGTGCTGGTCCTACCTGTGGGACAGTCCTGCCTGGCTATGGGGTGTCTGGTCTGGCTGTGAGCAGAGCAGTCAGTCTGGGACTCAGTAGGTCTCACCCTCTGGTTCCTGCCACTGAACCCCTAAATACTTCAGTACATTCCAATAGACACTTTGGGGCCTGGAGAGATAGCTCAGTGGTTAAGAGCACTGGCTGCTCTTGCAGAGGACCTGGGTTTAAATCCCAGCAGCCACAAGGCAGTTAACGACCACCCATAACTCCAGTTCCAGGGGATCCAATGCCCTCTTCTGTCCTCTATGGGCACTGCATGACATGGGTGCACTTATATACATGCAAGCAATACACTCATAACACATAAACTAAAAATAAAAATTTAAAAACACTTTTCTATGGTCACAGTTCAATGATCACAATCAGGAAATCCAGTGGCACAGAGCTACCATCTAACAATATCCAAATCAAAATTTCATCCATCATCTCAAGTGTCCTTTTATTTGTGCCCCCCCCCACCATTCAGGGTCCTGCGTCTGTTCTTTGTGTAGCTCTCTAGTCTTCTCCCAGCTGGAACAGTCCCTCAGTTTTTCTGACTTTCCTGACCTTGACACCTCAAGGTCAAGACCTTCCTGACCTCGACCTTCACAGTCAGTCAAGAAGGAGGCTCTATTTAAGGATGTCTGCTGAGGCAACTTACCCGTTCATTTCTCTCTCCCACCCTCAGCTGCAACTCTGAGCTCACCTATGCCTCCGAGAGACACTTCCGAGACAAGGTCTTCTATGCTCCAGTGCCCACAGTCACAGCATACAGTGAGACCATTGTGATGGCGCCCAACTGCACATGGCGCAGCTACCGCAGCCAGCTGACTCTGGAGCCACGTCCACGAGCACTTCTCTTCGGGAGCACCACCATCATCTTCCCTAAGTTCGTGCACAGCTCCTTCCGTACCACACTGCACTGCAGCCTGGGCCAGCCACGCTGCTGGTTCTCCTCCAGCCTGCAGCTGCAGCTGTGTGGGGACCCCACACCCAGTCCCCGAAGCCCTGATGTGCTCTGAGGGGCCCAGGCTAGGTGGCAGAGGATAAGCCTAAGCCCAAGGGAGGCCCTGGAGGATGGACAGATGGACAAGGGTTCAGCCTGGAGCCTGGGTCCCAAGAGACACAAAGCCCAGTGGCCTGGACTAGTGAGGATGAGGCTGCTCCTGGCAGCCTATCCCTGCCACAGGCTGTGCCTGCGCTCCAGTGTGGAGGACTTTGTTAATGCATGTCTTTCATTAGCTTTTACAACAGCCAGGCAGTGTGGCCTCAAAAGTGAGGACTGAGCATGTCCTCATGTGCCCTTGAGGCAGAGAAAGCCCTGTGTACCATAGGATACAGGTGACCAGCCTCAGCTGTGGCCTGGCTCCCAGGCTGAGTATGAAGGGAAGAGGGGTGCCAGTGGACCCCTTGTTCCTGGGCAAGGCAGTTTCCAAAATAGGCTTTTTAAATATGCAGCATGCCCCAGCTGAGAGTCCTAGGTTCAGAGAGCTGAACCAGCTCAGGGGACCTTGAGTCCAGAGGTGGGAAAGGCCAAGGTTAGGGCCACCTATAATGTGCCCTGTGCCATAGCCAACATGGGTCCTGTGCCTCCCTCCATCTCCAGTGCAAGGGAGGCCTCAAGAGTATCTCCACATGGTGCATTCATGACTAGATAAGACCTGGAATCTTTCTGCCAGGCAGACATTGAGTCGATCAGACTGCTGACACCTGTGTACAGCTGACTCTGGATTCACCAGCTGTGACCTCAGAGAAACCGTGCTATCTCCCTCAGTCTCTTGCTCCTGCCCAGGACGGAGTCTATAACCACACCACATGATTCCCAAGCACCCGGGTCTACCTTCCATCTGTGGGATTGCGGAAGAGGAATTCAGAGAGCCTCAGTTCTGACTCCTGGAGACAAATGGGTGGCATAGGGCCTGGAAGCGCCCATAACCTGGTGCTGCCCATGGTGCTTGGCCCACCAAATGACAATCTCACAATCCTGCTGTAGATGTGGAGGTGCCTCTCTGACCTGAAGTGTCTGTCTGGTATCTAGGGCTTGCTTGCTACTCTCCTACTGTCCCAGCAGAGGGAGAAGACCCTCTGTAGGACAAAGAGAGGCCAAATGCCTGGTAGATTTTATATATCTGCACATCTCATCTGGGGTGCTTCCCAGTTAAAGAATAACTTAAGAAATCAATGGATTATCTTAATAAAACATACAAACTCAGCAGGACTCCTGTGTTTCTGAGGCACCCCTGGAGTGGCGGAGGGGAAGTCTGGTGTGTTCAAGCCCACTTTTGCGCCCACCCAGAGTTGGTCCCTGAGGGATCCTGGCTCTCCAGTTCCTGGGGGATGGAGGAACTGTAGAATCTCTGCCAGTGCTAGGCGAGTGCTCTGCCCTGATTGTTGGCTTATAATTCAGGGGGCTCAGAGAAGCCCCACCAGGGAGGTGTGGCTTGAAGCACACCAGCAGTTCACCAGTCCAGTGGGAGTCTAGGCAGAATGAGGTGCCAGGTCCAGGTAGATCTGGTCCCACCCCATGGGGATCTTCACCCAAAGGACATGTCCCTAGCTTCCCTGGCATAAAGAGCTTTGTGTTAAAGGTCCTTTTGTCCCCCAACACCCAGAAATGCCAGGGAGGTAAGACCCAGCAATATCCCCAGAATGGCACCTGTCCCCAGGGTGCTGAGGTTGATAAGGATGAAAGTGCCCAGTGCCTGTAGGTCACTTCTTTACATTGCAAAATGGGACAAAATCTCCAGTGCCCATGCCTGGAATCAACTTGATACCCCCCAGCTCCTCCTGCCAGACCCCTGCCCACCAGATACTACACATACCTCCCCCCATGCCTCCTTCCAGAGCAGAAGCATGGAGCACCTTGGCCCCTAGCCAGGCCTCGTTGGATGCATTCCTTCCATTTAGTACATTTAGTTTTTAACCATCACAGAGCCCGCTCAAGGGGTAAGGAGACTGCTCAGGAAGGGCTGGGGACTCAGAGGTCCCAATGGTGGCCAGAGCTGGGTCCTCAGAGTTCCCTGAAGATCCTATATGACTAAGATTTCTTTCGTGGTCTTTCCCAAAAGCCACAGAGCCCTGGACCAGGTGCCAGGGATGGGACCTGTGCCCTCCCACACAAGCCACCTCAGAGCCTTTCTCCCTTGCCCTCCCTGCCACCTGTTTACCTTGTTCCTGATCTTGCCCAGGACCTGATCCCAAACAGCTGAGAAAGAGCACTGGCATTGGGTGGGGCTGCCTGTTGTCACCCGCACCCATTCCACACATAAGCAAGCTACACACAGAAGCCAGGGGCCTTGTCAGGTCAGGTGGCTGCTCCAGATTTTCACACTCCACAGCTCTTAACCTTGTCTTGCTGACTGCCTACTGGCTGCCTCATCGTGTAAAGTGCTCCACCCTGGCCCCAGACCCTTGGATGGGCTCTGCCCCAACCCCACAGTTCCTCACCATCTACCTAGCACTTCTGCAAGTATAAACTATCCCAATTTTGGAAAACCAGATACTTTACTGTGGCTTGGCTTTCTCAGAAACTCCTGATTCCTATCCTGGCATTTACCTGGGTTCTGAATGCCCCTGGCTGGGCCTCACCTCCTCACCCACACAGGCTGTGTCTCTCCCCCTGATTGCTCAGGTCTGGGATCAGCCTATTTCTGCCCCATGGGAGGCAGCTGGCTCACCAGGTCTCCTGCCACAAGTTTTCTCTGGGCTTCCCCTGGGCAGAAACTGGCAGCTGGATTCCAGGCAGGGGTTTAGCTCCAGCCTGAGGTGGCATAAGTTCAGCATAGCCAGGGGTGCCCAACCCTGGTCAAAAACATCTGGGCTACAGATGGAAGCGGATCCCAGGATCCCAGGCTTCTAGATCTGGCGAAACACGGGGCAGGGGTGGTGGCGGTGGTGGTGGAATGGATCTACATTCTATCACCTCCCATGTCCTAAGACACAGTGGCGTCCGACAACCATCACGGCCCTTCAGGAAGTTCTTCCTAATTTTGCTGTAATCATTCTTATCATCAATTGCAAGAGGTTCAGAGGAAAAAGGAGGCAAGAGGAAAGGGCTCTGCTCCATTACCCCTTACCCTCTCAGAGAGGGGGTCAGGTTGTGTCTGGCTTGAGACAGAGATAGTTGTGTTAAGAGACCCAGAGGATGAGCCGGGCGTGGTGGCACACACCTTTGATCCCAGCACTCAGGAGGCAGAGGCAGGCGGATTTCTGTGAGTTAAGGCCAACCTGGTTTACATAGTGAGTCCAGGCCAGCTGGGCTACTCAAAGACCCTTAAAAAAAAAAAAAAAAAAAAAAAAAAAAAAAAAAAAAAAAAAAGATACCCAGAGGAGAGGAAAGAACATGGAAATTCTTAGAGGAGGCTATTCCCCAGCTGAATTTTGTAGTGTGCAGTTTTCCTGGAAGACAACGGTGAGGGATTATAAGAACCTCCCTTTAAAGACAGAGTGAGGGACACCAAGAGGACACTCAGAGAGACTTCTTTGGGGATTGAGGACTGGCTGGTCACAGCTAGGAGCCAGAAGTAACACTCAGAGGGCACAGAGAGGCCATGAACTCTCCTTCCACTGGGCTACCATGCCTCTGTCATGGGTCTGGGCCTTAGAAAGTAGACAAGTCAGATGTGCCTCAGGGTCTGAAGGAAAGAGGTGGTGCTTGTGAAGACAACAGGGCTCAGATATACTCTGGTCTGGGGGTCCTTGAATGGCACATGTCCTAGATGGCTGGCTTGGCAAAGCAATTGACCCTGGAGTCCAGATGAGCCTGGCTGTGCCCAGGGTGAGACCCCACACTACCACCTGCCTGCCAGCCTGGGTACTGCAGCCTGAGTCTTGACCCTAAGGTCCAGTCCAAGCCAGCCAGGTCTTTCAGACCCTGCTTGGTGGTTCTGAGGCTCCTTCCTCCACTAGAGGATGCAACTATAGCTTTGTACCCCACCTGACACTTCCCAGGTCCCTATCCCAAGACAGGACAAACTGGCAGCTAGTGCCAGGATCTTGGGGTCCACAGGGGAGGTAGAGCAAGGGATGCTAATTCTTAACACCTGTGGGCTGGGGCCCTCTCCACTTGCCCAAGCTCCAAAGAGTCAGACCCACTGGTATAATGGGCTATGGCTGTTTGGGAGCCCCAGGCTGGTCCCAGCTATAGGAACCCCATTCCTTTGCCCAGATCCTTTGGTCCCCACTCACCAGTCAGCAAGGCCAAGGTCGGCTTCATTCTAGGAACTCAGGGCCATCTGTCCCAGCATCCCTGGCTGTCTGGGTTTGGGGCTTGGGGGCTGGTCCTGAGTGTGAGGCAGAGACCTTGGCAGGAGAAGCATAATGCAGAGATATTAGGGGTCACTCACATGCTCTGAGATCCCAGGAGTCCACATGACCCCAGAAGACTCTACGAGGCAGGCCAGCCCTGCAAGCAGGGTCTTCTGTCGATGACTATCTACATACCTGGCAGGTCCTGGGGTCTAGGGCAGGGCTGACTCTGCAGCTCTGCTAGGAGAAGCCTGGCAAACCGTCTGGGAGGGGGGTATCCCTTGAAGGCCATACTCCAACGAGCACCATCCCCACACAGGCTGTGGCATGGCTAAGAGGTGACTATAGTGCCCAAATCTGCCACCTACAGGAGGCCAGGTGAGGTCAGCCCAGGTCAGCAGGGGAACTGCAGGTGAAGGTGGCCTCATCCCTCCAGGTAATTTAGTGGGTACCAGAAGCCCCACAGCCCATCCCTGTGCCTCGGGAAGTACCCTGCACATCCTGCACCCAGGTGGCCACAAGGGGATAGGACAGGAATGAGTGGGTAAAGGATTTCTCCCTGTTGCCCTTGCATGCTGGCTTTCAATCAGCCATTTGGAAACAGATGATAGGAGACAGGCAGGGCAAAGGGACAGCAGCAGGCTGGGGTCACATGGCAAGGCTCTGCTGTGCAGAGGGCACACCACATGAGGGCCCCAGGCTTAAGGCTGAGGCAGAGCAACTGTGACAGCATGAAGACCTGGGGTCCTTCTGAGGTTTTGTTCTGCTCTGGAAGGGGCACTAAGGTAAACTGTGTGGTTCGGGTAATGTTTCTCATACAACCCTGCACAGCCATTTTGGTTACCACGGACACAGTGCGCAGGAAAGGGTAGAATATGCCAAAGCATAAATGAGAGCCACCCAAGACAACCTCACCATGGGTGAGGATGCCTGACACCTGTCACAGGCTTCAATACCCAATGCTTCGACATGGAGTCTGACACCATGTATGAGAACACTATGCCCATACCACAGGTGGGAAGACCACACATACCATGTGAGAAGACCTGCCACACCCACAAGTTGAACATCTCACACCCTTACCATGGGTATGCGCACACAATGCCCTTACCATAGATATGACTACTCAACATACTAGAGATGAATAGTGGACACTTCTCACAAGTGTGAATACCCTGCATTCACCATGAGTGGGAACACACAGCAACTTCCCCACAGGCATGGACATACTGTGTGCATTCACTGTGGTGTAAAAAAATATCCAGTAGCTTCTTCACAGGCACGAATACCTCACATATTCACCATGGGTGTGAACACCTGGCAGTTTCCCCACGGTGTGAACACTACACTCACCATGATGTGAATACGTGGTACCCTTTCCATAGTGTGAACACCCAACATATTCATCATGCTATGAATAGCCCATACCATCTCCACGGGTGTGAATATCCAGTGGCTTTTCGACAGGTATGAACACTTCACATTCACTATGATATGAATACTGGGTATTTTCTCTACAGGCACAAACATTGTGCATGTTCACTGTGGTGTGAACACCCAACAGATTCTCCTCTAGTGTGAACCCCACACATTTGCCTTGACAGGTCCCCCCAGATGTGAACACTGGACACTCTCTGGTGACATTCTACTTGAGATCAGTTTTCACTGCTAAGTGGTGAGCTGAGAGAACATTCCCCCACCCTTCAGGGTTACACACCAGTCCTTCAGCCCTGGCTGCCTGCCACCCAGTCCCAAGCAGAGAAGAAACCTTTGTAGCTTGAGTATAATTCGCTTTTTAATTGGAACAACTTGTGTAAATGACAGAATGCCGCCATGCGCAGATGGCGGCCACAGAATACGCATCAAGTTCACTCTGCCCAAGGAAGGGAGGGAGAAGGAAGCAGGGGCCATGTGCTGGTGCCCCGCTCCTCAGTCCTGCGTATGATGGGGTCACCGACTTGGCCGGCACACACCTCTGGAACAGTAAGCAGAGGTCAGAAGCACAGCAGCAGTAATACTGGGTAAGTCCTTCTTGCGGGAAACATCTGAATTAACTCATTGAAGGTATCAAAAATATACCCTGTAAACCAATACATTTACACCTGCCTTCCCTCGCCACGGCAACGTGGGAAACAGTCCAGTTCCTTGGACCATTCATGCCCCAGGCTATGCCTGGCCTTATGCGCCCACCTGTTCTGATGGGCTCCCAGTCTCGCAGGCTAGGTGGCCTGTGGGGACTGTGATGACAGCATTGAGTCAGGACGGGATGGGATCATCTGTCCAGAGCACGAGCAGGCTAGGAGGCAGAGGGAGGGGCAGGGCTGTGAGTTCAGCCTAGACTTTGGTTCCAAATGCATTAGGGGTGAGGCAGTGTGCAGAGGTGCCTGGTCTCCTACTTTAGGTCCCTGCTGCCCCAGCCATGTGCGTGCAGCTGCCACATACCCACTGTGCCCTCCTCCCGGCCTGCTGCCCTCCTCTCCCCGCCTCCCGCCCCCTTTCCTTCCCCAGCACCAGGTAAACATCCCCTGAGAAAGGTCACTGCACAGGGCCAGCCCGGGGCGGGAGTCTTAGTTAAGGCTTTTGACAGGCAGGATGCCAGCTCAGGATGGACAGACGGATGGACGGACAGATGGATGCGCAGGCAGACTCAGGGGCTCCTTCCTCGGTGCGGGGAGTCGGCAGCTGCCTGCTCTGTGCCGAGCTGCTTCTGCCTCGTGCAGGGACCTGGCACTGCTTCCTCCTATTTGGAGTCACTCGCTGTCGGAGAGTGTCTCATACTGTGAACACAGCAGTGGCTTAGGCTCCTCATCCCAGGCATGATGGGGACCAGCCATGGGTCCACTGCCTGCCGCAAGACCAGGTGGAGGTGGGGAAGCCATGACACCTGCCTGCAGCCGCATGATCAGGGGGTTGTAGGGGAATGGCGTGGACCCTGTGGGAAAGATGGGTGAACACTGGAGAAACTCTGTAGCCACCTCGGCATCCTACTGGCCTTGCCAGAAGCAATATCTCAACTCCTTCTGCTTCAGGAGGTTTCTCTAGACTGGCTGTCTCTCTTCACCTCATCACTGTACAGGCCCCTGCCATCTTTTGCTTGGACTGTCACAGTAGCCTGTCCATTTCTTCCCTTGTCCTCTACTGCCTTGGGGACCTTTTGTTTCCCTATTAAAATCCTCCAGTGTTAAATGTTCCATGTTAAAATTATGGGAGGATGTCCAGGCTCCCCTGCATGACCCACCAAGCCTAGGTGGTTTGGGAGAACCCTCCGTGTCTGCAGTTTCCTAAATCTTCCTTCCTTGAAGGGTGGAGACCAGGGACTGGCTTCCCTGGGCAGCCCAGGTCATGATGTGTCTACCCCCTGTGCCCTTGTGAAGTCCAGAAGTGCTCCTGCCCCTAGCTGGGCACCCACCTGCAGATGAGGGCCGGTCCTCCCACACGCGGTTGGTGAGTGGCGTCCGCCGGTTGCAGTCCCCCTCTGAGTGTACAGAGGAGACAGATGGTGGCCGGTCTCCCGAAGCTAGGCCTGGGGCTGGGGACTTGGCTTTTCGGCTGTTGGGTCTGCCAGAAACCTTGGCTTTCCCACTACCACCTAGAGGGGACAAAGTAGGAGGGGACTGCTTTAGATGGAGCTAATGGTAAGAACACCCACACTAGTAACAAGGGGCAGCGGAATAGGGGGGTGACCTATGCCTTGGAGAGCCACTTGCCTCCTGGGACCCAAGAGATACAAAACTAACATGATAACCCCTGAAGCCAGGAGGCCAAGAGGTTGACCAGACGGCCAGAGTAGCACCTAGCCTGGAGGTACATCTCTACCCAGGGAAGCTGACTGCTATACTCCGAAGCACCCTCATTAGGACTGCACCCGTCAGAAGCCTCAGATCTTGGCTGGATTTCAAATATTGCCCTGGATGGTGCTGGGCCAACAGAGACTGGAGGTCTCTGTTCAGAGATTCACACCCCAAGGCCTGGCCTGACCTTCACTAAGAGCCCAGAAGTGGGCAGCAGATCACATGGCTTCTTTGTTGACCCCTGTTCTGAAGTGACAGGCACTGAAGAGAACCAGAAAAGTGGGGAGCTGGTCAGTGTTGCCAGGCCCCCAGGGGTCATGACTACACTGGGACTCCTCCCAGTGGCTCTGGCCACACGTGGTAGGCCGGGCCACTGCCCATCCCTGTCCACACAGCAGAGGAGGAGGGGGCAGGGCATGGGCAGCAGTGTGAGCATTGGGGGAAGCAGCAATGCTGGGGCCAGAGGGCACAGGGTACCAGGGTGTCCTCCACAACATGGTATCAGCCCAGCTTCGGATTAGCAAACTCAAGAATCACGTCAAACACGCACAAAAATGAGGTCGCAGGCTCCCAAGCTTGAGGGGGGAGGTGAGAGGATTAATGACATGGGTGGGGAGGGACACAGCCGGGTGGGCGGGACAGGCCTGCAGACCTGGCGAGGTGAGCGCGTGGTCACTCCGTCCGTCAGCAGCGGTTATGGGCATAGCGGCAGCGGGCAGGCTGGCACTGGCATTCAGAGGGTTAAAAGCATTGGTGCCGAGTGGCGGGGGCTCTTCCCACTGATCATATTTACCCATGAGTGCCTTTCTAATAATGGCCTCTAGCCCCATGTTGGTGCTGGCGTGTTCTTGCACCGCCTGGCTTCTACAGGTCATAAGGCCTGGGAGAGAGACAGGTAGACAGACACATGGGGCCGGGCCAGGGGAGTTGGGGGGGGGACAGAAAGAGACAGAGAAAGACAGAGAGACAGAGACAGAGAGGAGGGAGGAGAGAGACATAGTGAGCACACATCTGCCAAGCATTGTTCCTCCCTCCCTCCCGCCTCTTCGGAGTTCTTGTGGGGGCTCCTGACTAGGTCACTTGTAGTTTATATGGCTGTGCCAGGGAGGGAGGCTGGGGCAACTAGAGGGTCCCTCAATCGTACTTTGTCTGCTGGGAAGTCCCCTCTGTACCCCAATCCCAGCTAGGGCTGCTTCCATTTGACCTCAGGGGGGTGTCCCAAGAGGAAGGCAAGGAAGAAGCCATCCTGTCCTGTCTGCACTGTGCTATCAGGTCAAGTCAGAGCTAGGTGCTGGCAGCAGGGTGGGGAAAGGGAGGTCCACCCTGTGTCCTCTGGTGGGTGGGTGCTGGGAAGGGTTATGGGGAGGGAAGGTGAGCAGAGGCCCTCTCACTGCCCCCTTTTTCCCTCAAGGGGCCAGGGACCTCAGCCCTGCCTGATCCCCCAAGCTGGGCCTGCCTCTCTCCCCCACCTCCCCCCACAGGAGCCAGAGGAGAAAGGTACAGAGCTGGGCACAAGGGGTTGGGGTAGCAGCCATGCAGTTATGTGCGTGCGGGGGACAGGGCAGCGCTAGACAGGTGCATGGCCACTCCAGTCCCAGTTGGCCCAGTCCCATGACAAAGACAGATTGGTCAAATCAATAAACTGGTACCAAGAAATGCCCACCAACTTGAGCCTTTGAGGCCTCTGTTCAGTCTGCTTCCCTTTCTGTCTCTTATGAACTACTCTGGGGCTTCTGCAGATACCACGCAGGGCCAAGCACCTCTTCTCAGTGTTTCTAATAAACCAGGCTACTTCCAAACCCTTCCGAGGATGAGGCCTGGTGAGCAGGCCTCGAACCCCAGCTACTTAGGCAGGAGGCAAGTTCCAGCCTAGCTTGGTCTAGAGTTAAGTTCAAGGATGGTCTGAGCAACTTAGTGAGATCTTGTCTCAAAATACAATGTCATAAGAAAGAGGGCTGGGGTGCAGCTCCGTGTGGGACTCTTGCTTAGCATGTGTGAGGTCCTGGCTTCAATCCCAAGTACAAAACAACAACAAAAGAAAACAAATAAAACAAAACAGAACAAAAAACAAAAACAACCCAAACCAAACCAGACAACCAATCAAAACAACAACCAACAAAACCACCAAAACTTAAAAACTCAAAACTAAAACCACCACCATTACTGCTACCAACAACAACAACAACAAACCACAATAAAAAGCCCCTCTTAAGGATTCCCAGCCTATAGCCCCTGAAGTCTGTGGTAACTTGCAAACCTCCAGGCTGCCCTAGCTCCATGAGAGCACATGACCCAACATAGGTGCAGCTGAGGCTGGAGGGACAGACACTTCACAACCCCACTCTGGAGCGACTGCTGACAGCCTAAACACCCTTCTCTTCTTCCCTTGGGTTTCTGTGTTTTGGGTCAGGCCTACTTACAGCACCATGTCGGGGCTACCTTCCTAAGCAAGAGTCCTCAAGAAAAAGCTGAATTTCTAATTGGGTGAGTACTAAAAAAAAAAAAACAACAACAACAAACCTCAAACAGGCCCTACCTGTTCCTCCACATCCAGAAGAAAGTAGAGATAATGGCAGGGTCATGAGCCCAACATGATGGCACTGGGCATAAGCATGACTTTCCCTATCTTGTTTTTGTAGACTAATGCTTAAAGGGAATATATGTATATGTATATATCTATATATGAAAACTTACTTAGGTTTTAGCACAAATCCTCATTGAACAACCCAATGAATTTCTATACATACTTATACCTGGATGCCCAGCATCTATATGAAGAGCCAGAACATTCTTGAAACATTCACTTCCAACCACCCTGCTGTCTGACCAAATTGTCTTCCGTCCAGGCTCAGCAAAACCCTGTGTGTCTCTGAGCTCGAGAGACTCCTAGCCAGGACCCCTGTGCAGGTCTTCTGGTCCTCTGGAGATGTCCCTAAAGGTATATCTTGTTCACCTCATTCCCAGAGCTCAAGACCCCAAACACTCATGGGAAAGTCGGCAACCCTCCCCTGCCCCTCCAGTTCAGAGTGTACCCCCAACATACATCCCTGTGCCTTAGGCCCCCACTCTGGTGTCAGTGTTTGCTCCAGCTGCTATCCCCAAGAAGCTCTTCAGGGTCCCACCCCAGTTCCTTCCACAGGGGCAGTGCAAACAAACCATGGAGTTCTGACCAACGGCTGGTGCCTATCTAACCCTCAGGGCACCCTAAGTCTAAAACACCACAAAGAAACCCTGAAGTTTCTGCCCCCAAACTGCATGCAAGGTTTAAATCCACCTCCCTCTGTACATGACTTAGGAAAATAAGTCATGGCTCCCAGACTTGAATCTTCAAGTGAAGTAGAAACTTTACCTCTGAGAAATGCTGATGGCACCCCAAAGCTGAGCACCCCAGTTAATGATCAAATGTCTCCAGGTGACACATGCACCCCAATGCCCACTGATCATTTGAGGGAACCCTGGTCTTGAACTGCAGAGGCTCCTTACTCAGGGAGGACTCTAGGAGATAAGAGTCTGGCCTGCAGGCCACCTTGGGTCCACTGAGGCCAGGAGAAGAGGCTGAACTTGAACTGGCTAAGACTCCTTGCACCCAAGACCAGGAAGGAGCTTTAGCCATATGGGAGGGTTACCTGCTCCGGTGATGGCAGGCATGTTGAAGATTTCCGTCCCAGGCTGGCCAATATCTGCAGAGGAGTGACAAGGCGGGTGAGGTCTGCAGCCCTCAGGTCCAGGAGATCTGCGTTGCCACCCATATTTTGTATAGCCTGAACTGGATGCCTGAGCATGACTGGGGACCACACCCCTTGCAGTAGGGTGCTGCAGGTAAGGAGGGCTGACAGCAGCGCTCTGGCCACTCCTTAGGGCTGTTAGTCACCAGCCTAGGCCTGTGCTGCTGAAGGAAGAGCCTTGGCCACCTGTCCAGACCACCCTGGGGAGTGAATAGCACAGTGAAAAGCCCTCACTTGCTGCTGTGCAGGATTCACCTGATCATCTGCTATGTGTGACACTGAGCTAAGGACAAAGGTTCACACATCCAGCCACATCACCCAGGGTAGAAGAGGCCAGGCTTGCAGTGTAAATCGGGAGGCTCCCTAGTGCGCAGCTCAGGGTATTTGCTCATGCCTCATTGGGCATTTAGTACTGGGTGCCGAGTACTATTTTAAAAGTGCCACACATGTTGTGCTAGTGAGTGCCCAGGAAAGAATGGCAGAATGCCAAGCACCTCCAGGGTGGGGTTTAGGGTACAGCTCCCAGTTCTAGTCCAAGTCCCAGCTTCCCCTTACTATATTCTGGCTCATTCCGGTTGTGGGTGTTGAGCTTCTTATTAATCTCCTGCTTCTTAGACTTGACCATGGCAGAATTGCTCTCAGTCAGCTTGCTGAAGAAAGCTGGTGGCTGGCTGGTGTTGCCTGGAGACTTGGAGCCCATTCTGCAGGGATCAACAGACACCTGAGTTAGTGAGCACAGCACTGGATTTGCATGCCTTTAGTGGCAGGGTGCTCACACCTGGCTCATGTTAGCTGCTAAGGAGAAACCCTGTCCCCTTCTGGGACTGTGCCTTCCAAGACCTTCTTTGCAGGGTGCCTAGCCTTGGCTTGGGGTATCCTGTAAGCCTCCCAGGAGGACTGTGAGTTGTCCTGAAAAGCTGCTGTAGCTAGATGTCCAAGAGAAGCCCTAGATACTACTGGGCAGGCTCAGCTGACACCCTCTAGAGGCTGGAGGCCTGTCATGCCCATATCCTCCCCCTCCCCCTCCCCCATCTGGTCTAGCTCAGTTCATCATTTCTCAAATCCTCAGCAAGCACTAAGAACAGGGCACAGCCTGGGCTGAGACCCCAGGATGGCACAGTGTGTGTGTGTCAGGGGGGATTTGCCACTGAAGCCCCTGAAGGTGTATGTCCCAAATCAGCCAACTGAGCTCTGAAGCTCGTATCCACCTCCATGCTGAGTGGAGAGGGTGGAGACCATGGGCATTTGAGGAGCCGAAAACACCACTTCTGCATGGGCTCTGTGCCACAGGGATACCTGGGCTCCCCCTGTTCCCCTTCCCGGTACAGCAGTGGGTACATGGCACTCCGGGGGTGTCCTGGCTCGACCATGCCCTCTGGTGGGGACACAGGTTCAATACCATCCTCACTGCCGCCTAGGACCGATGTTTTGCTGGGCTCTGGGGACCTGGTGGAGAGAGCATCCCAGCTGTGGATAGAGCTTTCCCTCAAAGGAGACATCCCAACTCCCACCCCCATCCCCACTGGGTACCAGTACAAGCCAGAGCTGTACACACATCCCTGTGAAAAGCCAGACAGCAGCTTGAGGTATGGGGACCCTGAGCCCACATGCTTTCCTTTACTCTTGGCCCAGGGGTCCCCTTTTCCCATGTTCTGAGCCCCAGGACCAGCCAGGGGTGGGAGTATGTGTACACAGTGGGAGGAATGGCGGCTCATGTCTCCATGTCTCAGTTTCCCCATCTGTCAAATGGGAGGTTTACTGTCTCTGTCCCCTGGCTGAGTTGGAATGTATATGATACTCAGTTGAAGCCTGGGAGCTATGAGTGCCATGTCCTTGTTTAGCTACTACACATTGGCTCTGAGCCTCTGTTTCCCATCTGTATAATGCTCTACTGTACATCATCTCCCTCACTGCCCCCCCACCCCGCCATCATCTGACACAGGTGTGGGTGCATCCTCACCTCTTGCCCCCCTCGCTGTGGGGGGAGCCCCGGGCGGGGGCACCATGGTCAGGGGGTGGGAGGTAGAGGTCACTGGGTGGACGACGGAGATCCAGGACTGGGCAGCTGGCTCCAGGGAAGGAGTAGAGAGGGGCGGGCAGGGGGCCGCTGAGCTGCTGTGGGTGGTGGCGCGTGTAGTCCTGTGTGATAACCTCCTGCAGGGAGGGAGCAGCTCAGGGGCCATCCTTCCAGAACCTTTCAGTGGGGTAGGGCAGAACCCTGGCTTGGCTCTCAGCCTCCTGATTGTGTGCCCATGTGGGCCTTATGGCACTAGCCCCAGGAGAGAACTTGGCATGGTAGCTAGCATATGTTAGTGACTGTCTGACTCTGGGATGTGACCCTTGTAGCCAACTGCTCTCCCAGGGACAGTGGGCAGGGATGGATACTTACACTGATATGCTGAGCTAAGGTGACCACCCGCTGGTGACCTTTGATGCCTGGGGCAGTCTGGAGCAGTGGGCTGGATGACGGCTGGCTCTCAGGCAGTGGTCGCAGGTGTGAAAGGTGGGCAGCCTCCCCAACGAGCTTCATAGAGCCTGAGGATACAGCAGAACTGTCAGGGGCTGGGGGCAATTTGGATTCATGCCTCAGATTCCGCACCCACCCCTCTCCCAGGGCACACCTGACTGCTTGTGCCGCAGCTCTCCCTCCAGATGGCTCTTCTCTAGCTCCTCCAGAGGTTTGGAGAGCCCCTTGTCATGGGTCAGGTTGGGTGAGCTCACAGGGCTGATGGGCTCCACCCCATCAGGGCTATAGGCAGCTCCACCATGGTAACCTGAAACAGGTACACTGGAGTCAGAGTGCAGTGTGGGCTTGGGTCTGAGGAGCTAGCCACCACCCAACCCGTCTGTCCTCCACACTGGCTGGGCCCTGAGATGAAGAGGAGTGAGCTTTGGTGGGTATGAACCTCAAGACAGTGACCCGGAGCAGTAGGCAGAGAGGGAGGAATAGTGAGAGACTGGGACACACAGAAAGACACACCCAAAGGACTATGGAAGACTGGCTCGGGCAGTGGGGGCTGGAGTGAGGGAGAGTAAGACAGGCAGGTGGGGGTGGATACCTAGGAAGGGCAGAGTGGGAGCTCAGGGCTAGAGGGATGCTCTATCCCGAGCCTTGCCTGGGCCCAGCCCTGCTATCCCTGGCCCAGCACAGAGGGGCCTCCTCTCTGCATGCTGGGATGGGATGGTTGGGTACCCAGTGCCCCCTGGACAGCATGAGCGCCCCTCCTTCTTCTCCCCACGCCCTTTCCATCCTGACTGCTTCAATTTCCTCAAATCAGATGTGCTCCATGCAGAGTGGCAGCACTTAGCAGCGGCAGCCCCTCGTAGCCTCCCTCCCTGCTCCCCTAAACAAAGGTGCAGCTAGACACGGGAGATGGGAGGCGCGGTCAGAGTCCAAATCACAGATCCATTCATTAAGGGAAAAAAAAGGCGAAAAAAATCCAAAAAATAAAAACAACAAAAAAAAAACCAAAACAAAAAACTTATGATGAAAGGATGTGCGAACGATGAGGCACCCCGCATGGGATGGCACGGCGGTTTGAGTGTCACCACAGCGTGCAAACTGACGAGGACGGGTTTCAAAACAAAATTCCAAAACCAATTTAAAAAATTGGGGGAAAAATAAAAAGCAAAGATCTGAAAATATCTTTAGGCCACAGATGGGGTGGGCGGGCGGCGGGCCAGAAGTCTTACCGTCGCCAGGGGAGTCGTTGGCCAGCGAACCTCCTTCTCGCGGCCCCCTTTCGTGAGCAATTTGACGCGTGATTATTGCGTCTATGAACGTGGCCGCTGTCAGGGTGGTCTTACCCAGAGAACGGAGTTCCAATTCCTGGATGGAAAAGGGTTTACTTTGAGTCTTTTCTCTGTGCAGATCTGAGGCCGAGGCAGGCGTCGGTGGATCCGGGCTGGCGTGGTGGGGTGCGAGGCTCTTCGCTGGGGTGCGGGTGATGGCCGAGTGGCTGGAGCTGGGGGTTGCTAGGGGCCGGGGCTCAGAGCTCTTGCTGGGTGAGGAGGTAGGCTCCCGGGCTGGGGGCTTGGTAAGGAAGGTGTGGCCAGTGTCTGCGCGAGGCCTTTCAGGCCGGGTAACCCGAGAGGCCTCCTTGGGTAGTAGGACCGGCTCCATCAGGGTAGGGTAGACCCCTTCAAGGGTGCCACCAAGCGGGCAGTGGGTGGCAGGTGGGAATGTGGCAGCTGGGCGGACAGGTGAAGAGGTGGAGGTGGACCTGGAGAAGAAGAGAAGGGGTCAGGCAGGTGCAGAGAGCCACTCCCTGATGCCAACACCCTTCGTGAGTCCCTACTGCCTATGATTATGATGCCCATGCTCTCTACAGTTCCCAGAATAAGCCTGCTCTCCTGATGGATATGTGGATTGTATTGTCTCCTAACCCATTTAGTCACTCACTCCCAGAGTTTTCTACTGAACCCGTCCCTACCAGGTGCCAAGCACTGTTTCAGACTCTACAGCTCTAATTAAAGCAAGAGTGCCAGATCTTCTAGCTGAGAAGAAAGAAGTAATGCAGGAAACACTGAACTACTCCTACTCTGTCCAAGTGGCTACTGCCACTTGCCATATACCACTGGGGTGAGGAGAGAGCAGGAAGCCCATCAGGTGGGCAGGAAGCACTCCTCCTGGCATGAGTGTCAGGCTTCTCAGCACTGTGAGGAATACATGAGCCATGAAGTGTGAGATTAGCAAGCAAAGGCCCCCAATAGGCCCAGGACCTCCAGCTCTTCTGGCTAGCTACAAAGGCAACTCTAGTAACAGTGGCCACTTGCCAAGCTTCCTGTCCCCATCTTTTCAAATTCTAACTCCTAGGCCTTACTCATCAGTTACCACACACTTACTCATGCACCCATCCTCCTATCTACCCATTCAATCATCCACTCAACTATCCATCTACCTGCCTATCAGCCCATCAACACATCCATCTATCCATTCACCCAGCCATCTGTCTATCCATCCATTTGCCCATCCATGCACCTGCCTATCAATCCATCCATCTACCCATCCACCCACCCACCCTTCTATCCATCTCCATCCAATCACCCATCCATCTGTCTATCCATACACACACCCATCTACCTGCCTTCCCATACAATCATTCATCCATCTGCTTGCCCATCCATTCACCAACCCACCTATCTACCTGCCCATCAACCCATTTATCTACTCAACCACCCACCCATCCACCCATTCATTCACCCATCCATCTGCCCATCAAGTCATCCATCAACTCTTATCTATCCACCCATCCACCCACCTATTATCAACCCTTCTATTCCCACCCATTTGCTCATCCATATACACATGCATCCATCCATCCATCCATCAGACACACATCTATCCATCCATCTACCTACCTGTCAATCATCCATCCATCCATCTATCCATCTGCTCTCCCACCCATTCATCCATCTGCTCACCCATCCACCCAGCTATCCATCTATTCACCCACACTCCCCATTCACCTGTCTATCCACCTATCTCTTCACCATTCACCTACCAGCTTGCCCATTCATCCATCTGTCCAGTCGCCCACCCCCTATCCAGTCAGCCATGTTTTTTGTTCACCCATCAGCTGCCTAACCAAAGCAACCTCTACACACCCACTGTCATCTGCCCAGCTACTGCATCTCATCATCTACCTGCTGCATACCCTGTCCTCTAAGCCATCCTCCACCTGCTTACCTGTCACCTACCCACCCACTCATACTTTATTCACTGATACATTCATCCACCCATCCACCAGTCCTCCCATATGCTCAATTTTCTACCCATATGCCCATCTGCCTACCCACACACACCCTCCCTCCCTGAAGGTCCATCTGTGTACCCTCCCCCCAAGTCTGTTCCCCCCGGTGCCAACCTGGCCCACCTCAGGACCGTGGGCGTGCCGGGTTCCACGGAGGTGACAACGCCCTTCATGCTAGTGTTGTGCAGCACGCTGGGTCTCTGCTGCAGAGCGTCCTGGGTCCGGGGGGAGATGGGCGAATGCTGGTGGGTGTGTGAGGCAGGACGGCTGCTGCCCCCGGCCCCGCTGCTCTGCTCCGTACCTGGTGACAGGCCGCCGAGTCAGGGGGCAGGCCCAGGTGGCCCATGAGGACCTGGGGCAGGGCGGGGTCTGGGGTGCCCTACCAGGTCTCCAGATGGGTGCATGTTCTACTGTTGTGGTGGATGTGAGGATGGACTTGTCTCGATCCCGCTCACGTTCCCTCTCTCGCTCCGATGAGGACGTGGCAGTCGGTTTAGCCAGGTGAGTGGGGCCTCCTAGGAACCCCAAGGCCAGAATCTCAGCCAAAGCACAATGGGCTGAACTTGCCCATGGGGGACAGGGAGCCAAGCACCCCCATACCCACCCTTCTGGAAGGCGCACCTGGGGACAGTGGTGAGCTGCTGTGGCGGCTGCTGAAGGGCGGGGGTGCCGCAGGGAGGTAGGCAAGGCGGTCCATGGCGGTGGCAGGGGTGCCTGGTGTTGGGGGCACCAGCACAGGCAGGTGTGGCACTTGAGACAGGTCAATGATACCTATGGGGTAGGCAAGCTATAGCTGCAGGGAAGGGGGTTGGGTCTCCTTCCTGGAGGGTATGTACCCATGACCCTGTGCCTTGGCAGCAGTCCTCCTTGGTACCAAGCTTGGTGTCAGGCCCCTTTTTCAGAGGCACAGTTCACAGTGCCTCCTGGCCAACGGCTCCCGGACAAAGCAGTGGATGCTTCCTGAGGTTGGCATCTCAGCCCCACCCCATACCATCAGCTCCCTGTACTCAGCCCTCACCCCTCCACGTGCCCTGCCAGAAACCCTTAGTCAGCTTCTCTGACTGGACCTTAACTGGGTCATCTAGAGCTGGCCCTGGAGGGCACCCCTGAATAGTCATGAGTAAGGCAACTGTGTACCTCACAGGCTCTGGAAGTCTCACCACCCCCTTTTATTATTCATATTGAGTCTCACATAGTAGCTGAGGCTGATTTTGAACTCTCAACCCTCCTGTATGCTGAGATCACAGATTGTGTTCTGATCTCTTCAACTCCTAAGTGCACCTTGCACCAAGGGCCCAGAACAACATATGCACACTCACTGTGGAGGAGACACCCTCCACATATGTAGCTGCCACATATAAATAAATGCCTGTAGTATCTTGGACATTCTCCACAGAGGGAGCAGGCACCACCATGGTCCATCTAGCCAGCCAGGCATATTCAGCACCTTCCACGTGGCCCACATATGGCCCATTCCATCCACCTTGCACAGTGCAGGGCACACAAGAACTCACGTCTTCTACACATGGCAGCATAAGAAGGGACAGGATGAGACTCCACCGACAGGCACAGTACCAGGCCACTCACCTCTTGGGCCAGTGGCATAGTTGAGGGCCAGTGAGGACTCTCGTGGTGACAGGCCCCTCAGCATGTCAGCTCGCTGGGCCATGGCGGAGGCAGCGTTGTGGTGCATCTGCTGCGAGGTGATGTAGTCATTGATGATGGTCTGGCGGTTCTCCAGGGCGGCGGTATCAGGGTAGCCACGGATGAGGTATGGTGGATACAGGTGTGGGTAAGTGGGGTTGGGGGCCAGGTGTCGGGGCAGGTAGTATGCGGCAGCTGCTGGGGAGGGAGCAAGGCAAGGTCAGGCAGCCTATACTCTGTCCTCACGCCCCATCTTCAGACTCCCTACTTCTGCCCTGGCAGCTCCCCCCACCCCACGCCCACATGCCTCCCCAGAATGTAAACAGAACCCAACACCTAAGTCAACCAAGACTTGCGCTCCCCACCATCACATGAGGTGCCCTTTCTCAGTGCTCTGGGAAGCCCTCTCAAACCAGGACATTAAAACATGGGTCCTAATAGCTTAGCAGACACTCCTTAAAAAGGCTCCAGATCATGGCACACACTGAAGCTTCCATTCAGTGCAACTGAAATATTAAACACACTGATAAGTCCTGCAGGAAAAAACCACTTAGAAATGTGTACCCAGCCCACACCCCAGAACCTGCTCTATACTAACCTACTAATTATCTCAGCTCTCAGTCTATTTCCCACTCTCCAGGCCTCAACTGCCCCACCCAGGGGAACACAGCTATTGATGCTCCAAAGTCTCCAAGTACAGGGTCCCCACCTGCATCTAGAGGGATTCCTCGGGGTATGGAGGTGGGGTCGAAGGCCAGTGGGATGTGGCCACCACGGTAAAGATCCATGCCACTCACACCCCGGAGCAGGTGCTCATAGGGGGAGATAGGATGGGGGTGGTGCTCGGGCACGGTGCTATGCGGAGACTTGACGATCTCTCGGGGTGTCGACGTCAGCTTTCGGTCCTGGGATGCCTTACTGGACAGGAGGCTGCCTGTGGGGAAAGGTCACAGTGACCTCAGCCTCAGCACAGGGCCTACAGGTAAGGAAGAGTGGAAGGCTACTGCAGGGCCTTGAGCTTCCCGACTTGCTGAAAGGTTCCTCGGTTCCTCACTCCTGTCAGTCCCTTGTGAAATCTCACTCAGCCATTTGATCATTGTTCCTTCATTCTTTCCATTCTTTCCTTCATTCTGACCTATTCATGGGTTGGTACTTCCTGTGCCAAGAGCAGGGGAGATCCCAAGAACAAAGCAGGCAAGAATCTTGAGCCCCATGGAGCTGATATTCCAGGCAGGAAATGGATGATGAGCCAGGCTTGAGATAGACACACAAGCTCAAATGCAGCATGGATGCCACAGAATGTGGCCAGGACTGGGTGGAGGGTAGTCTTAAGTGTCCCCAAGGTCTGATATATGATCAGAGTAGAAGAGGATGAACAGGAGTTGGTCAGGAACAGAAGTGAAAGGACGCCTCCTGGGCTAAGGAAAGCATGTGCATAGGCCCTGTGTGGAAGTTGCTAAGTGGGAGAGGAGGAAGGGGAGGAGCTTGGGCTGAGAGAATTAAAGAGATGGAATGGTGGAGACCCACATGCAGGCACCCCAGACCACAGGGAGGAAGCTTTTCTTTCCCTAGGCAGAGCAACATTACTAAAAAGATATAAGCTGACGTGGTAGAAATGTTTGATGTAAATAATAACTATTTTAATCTTTGTGTGAGCGTGGGCACTCGTGTGCCATGGACTGTAGAAGTCAGGGGGCAAGTTCAGGTTTCGCTTCCCGCCTTCCATGAGTGTCAGGAGATCCTCCTGTCCTGTCCCATCTCACTGAAGGAGGGCCGGGGTTACAGATGCTCACTCCTGTGTCTGGCTTTTATGTGGTTTTAGGGATCTGCAGGGCTTTGTGTTTATGTAGTAAGCATTTTAGCCACTGAGTCGTCTCCCCAGCAGTGGTTTAAATTATTTAAAAAAAAATTAGTACCAGGGTGCCTTCGAAGAGGGCTCTGAATGCAGCGTGGAGACAAGGCAGTAGATTGGCCACAGCAGGGTGCAATGGCCTGGGTAACCCATGGAAGGTGAAGCAGCCAGAAGTCTATGTTCCCACCTCACCCACTCACCCTCCTGCAGGCGGGGTGTGGGCTCCCGCGTAGTCACAGGTGAGCCTCGTGGCAGGTGGCTGGTGAAGGGTGCCCCATGGTCCTCGTATGTCAGTGGGCTCTGTCGCGGCTTGCCCAGTTCGGGCACGACAACTGGGGCCCCTCGTGTGATAGAGCCCCCTGCACCACTGGTGGTCCCTGGTCGGCCCTTTAGACTCTCCTCATAGCAGGCACGCTCCAGTGCCCTGGCATCAGCCATCACATCCAGTGGGTGCATAGCCGGGAAGGGCCGGCCTGGGCTGCCGATGATGGAGCGCACATCATGCTTCTTGGTGCCAGTGGAGGGTGCTCCGGAATCATACTTGAGTGGAGTGCCCTGGGGAGAGGGAGCAGGCCTGTTTTGTCTGCCCAACCTCTCTGTGCCTCAGCGAATGTATAGGTCTCCAGGGCAGGGGATGGGTGTACTTATAACTGGCTACCCTGTTCAGTTCAGCCTGGCTGAGGCCCCAGAGCCACGTGGGGGGCTGTGGATGGAGCAGAAGGCTCTGCATCAGCCCTTCTGGGGCAAGTGCTAACCACCTAATGGTCCCTGGGTGCTGGGTATGGAATGAGGCCAGGTGTAGGTGAATATCCTTCCTTCACTCAAGAAGACCTCCATATCCTGCAATACCATAGAATTCTACAGCTCATGCAGCTCCAGCTCCAGGATGGACCTGGCCCCAAGGCTAGTGTTACATTCACAGAGAAGGGAACTGTGCAGCTGGACTATAGACTGACCCAAAAGCCTCAGTAAGCTTGGGGGCACTGTGCTTAGCCAGGCCCTGGGTCTCAAATTCCACTTATTCTATAATTTCTTTTTTATAAACTTCAAAAGTTGCAGTAGGGTATTGTGGCACATGCCTTTAATCCCAGCACTCAGGAGGCAGAGGCAGATGGATCTCTGTGAGTTCTAGGCCAGCTGGGTCTACAGGGAGACCCTGTCTCAAAAAGACCAAACCAAAAAAAAAAAAAGGAAAAAGGAAAAAGGAAGAAAAGATGATAGGGTCTTACTATGCAGCCCAGGCTGGCCTCAAACACAAAATCATCCTGCCTTAATCCTCCCAAGTTCTGGGATTGCAGGAGGGCACAATGTTTTGGTTATTGTGCTTTTTAAAAGGGGGCTGCACCTAATTTTAAACAAATACTCTAGAATCATCCTGGTTGCTCTTTGGATATGGGGGCAGATGCTGGCCTGTGGCTCAACCACCTGGAGAAGAAGAGCTGGGTGCTTCCATGGCATGGGGTGGCCTTCCCCTCGCCAGGTACCTTTGCCCAGCTGCCTCAATCTCCTCCTTCCCATCATGCCATGGACATGGGAGGGGACAATAGCTCTCCGGTGGGTGTGACAGCAGGTCCCCTATTGAGTGCCTTGAGGCACAATGTAGGTGGAGATGTGGGTGTGAGAGTCAAGACTGTCAGAGTGGCTAACCTCTTTGAACCTCAATTTATGCACCAGCGAAATGAAGCCAATATAAGAACCTTTTGGGGTCTTTCGGGCTCCTCCCATGGTCCCCGTACCTGAGTGATGGAACCCTCCTTGAGGGGCCGTGGGGCTAGGGGCAGCTCAGGTGTGTGGCGCAGCTCCTCCCGCGGGATCTCATGGATTGAACGACCTGCCTCTTTCACAGTTGCTACCACGCCCTCATGGGCTGGCTTCAGCTTCAGGGGACCCAGGGGGTCCAAGGGCCGGGTCTTGTAGGTCTCAGTCAAGTCCCTTGGGGGTGGTGGTGGTGGTGGTGTGCCCTCTCGCTTCAGGAGCTTGGCCTCCCGCCGTAAATAGTCCTCCTGGGCTTCCACATATGACCGTGGGATCCCTGCCGGATGGACAGCATTAACTCTCAGTAGCCTTGCTGGGCCCAGTCTGGGGGCTCCCTGTGGTGGGGTCTGAACTAGACTGCCTGACTTCAAACCCTCCCTGGTGACCTTGGGTACCTGACTTGACTTCTCTGAGCCTGCTTCTTCATATGAAGTGAGGACACTCATTGAAAACATATCACTAAGTTGTGAAAGTTCTATAGCTCACCACAAGGGCACGAACTCAAGTTACCCCCTGAGTTACTCCACTGGTAAGCAGAGGAGCTCTGGGGTCAATACCAAGCACAGAAATCACTCTACCTACTCAGGGTGTCAGGTGGTTCCTTGCTCTGTTTTCAAACCCCTAGTTCATGTTTGGTCTGTACATGAACACTCTGGGCCTACTGAGCCCCAAGCAGGTCCACCAAACCTCCAAGGGCAGGGCTGTCTTTGGAGAGCAGTGCTTTGTGCAGCAGGGTGCAGGGGGTCCTACCTTGAGTGATGGAGCCGCGGATGTGGTGTTGCTCCTTGAGGTGGGGGCTGTGCTGTTCGGGGATGGCCCGGCCCATGAGCCCTGTAGAGAATATGGACAGCCGTCACTACACAGTGCCCAAGCAGGCTGGGGTCTACCAGCAGCAGTCCCCATCAAGGTCACCAAGGTGGTGACACAAGACCCAACAAACAAGTGCTCCATCCCATGGGTCCCATTTGGCCTCCAGGTTGAGCCTCAGTTTCTCCATCTGTAACATCTGGCCTACTGCTGTACTGGCTTCCTCCGGGTATGCCAAGGGGTGGCCTGTCTTTCCTCTCCAGCTGGGTGTCTGGGAAGCTCCAGGGGCAGTGCCAGGCCCTGATGTGCTACTTAGGGCAGGGATACTCACCCTCGATGCTGGCTGAGGTGATGGCCCTGCTCACGCGACCCTCCATCATGTCATAGGTGCGTTTGGGGGCAGCTGTCTCATGGGGTGGGCCAGAGCTGCTCCTGCCATCCTCCTTGGAGCACTGGGACACAGACATACCACCTGGGGACCAGACAGACAGAGCACACGGCGGGCGGGGGGGGATGGTTGCAGGGTGCTGACACACTGCAGACATGGAGTTTGGTCTACAGACAGGCAGAGCTGGGCTGGATGAGCCTGTGAGACCCTCACAGCAGCTCAAATGGGCAGGAAGAACAGGGCATACCACCCTCCAGGCTGCTATCAGGGTAGGTAGGCATGCACCTGTGACCATGGGTACATGTGCAATATTCACAAAGACATGTCAACACTGAGTATGCAGGGCAGTCTCCACATGCTTATGTGCATTTATGTGCCCAAGAACAGATGTGTATAGCCCAAGGACTGCACAAAGCCATTTCACATGTGTGCCACAGCGTGCCTGACAATGTGTAGCTTTGCATGTGTGCATACATGGTAACACCAGAAAGTTGTCTATGCTGATATGCGTATAAACACAAGTGTTCTAGGACAAGTCTGCAGGCTGGGGGTTGGAGCAGAGAGGAGGCTGGCTGGCAGGGGCTTGTGGCCACCGGGCTGGGCTCTTCTGGGACCAGGGCACCAGAAAAAGCCCAGAGCCACAGCTCAACCCATGGATCTAGGCAAGTAACCACTTGAGGGTTGTTTAGGCCCTTGCTCTGTGAGACTCTTGAACAGGGATAACCCCAGGCTATGCAGCCTGCTACGAACTCTTCTACCATTTTCCCCTAATACCTGGCCATTCTGACCTGGGGAAACCTCAAACAAAGACAAGACGAGGGCATAGCTGGTAGGGGGGTAGAGGATGACAGTGGTGCCAGGCTGGAGTCCTCCCATCTGGGCCACTTTAGGTGTACTGGCTGCATAAAGAGCATGGGGGCATCCAAGTTCCCACACAGATGGGCTAGAAGGTTATGAGCTGTGGAGGCTTCCAAGATATGATTCATGCAAAGGCTCTGACTAAGACTGCCAGCTCCAGCAGCCCTTGGGGATTCCTACCATCACTGGGACATGAGGTTGGTACCTGAGGCAGCTGCAGCCCCTATCCTCAAGACTGCTCTACTGATAAGCACCTAAGCCACATAGGGCCCCTTGAACCCCTTAAGCTAGGATGGCTGTGGGGTTTTGGGAACAGGGAAGGTAACAGGTACCAGGCCTGTAGCTACTGGTGCTGATGATGGGGTACCTGGTTGCTGGGAGACACTCTGGGGCCATGCTGGTCACCACCCTTCATGACCAATCAGAGAGCAAGGCAAGCCATGGTTCCATCCCAGGTCTTCCCTGTCTTGGCTACAAAGCTGCCCACAGCTCTCCCAGCCTAGGAGGAACAGGGGAAGTCACTGAAGCCAGTCCAGACCTTAATGGGTTGCAGGCCTGCAGGACAGGAAATTGCTCCGATTGCTTCCTAGTATCACCTCAGCTCTGCCTGTGCCTGAAGATACCTCCACAGGTCCTACAGCTCCTCCCTAACCCAGGATTGCTTTGTCTCTCAGGGGGCCAGGACGGTGTCTTTGCAGAAGGACCCTGGACATGGATGTGCCTGTCTCCCCATCTGTAAGGTAGGCAGGGCCTAGGCTTAGCCCTTAACCTGTCAAGGCCTCCTAAGAGGGACACAGAGTCAGTTGCCTGTGTGATTCCGGAACCCTCCTCTCTCAGCCAAGTGCATATATCCCAGTCAGCAGTCTGGGATATGTCTTTCAAAGGTCTACATAACTTAAATCAACAAGGGGTTTCCAATACACCTCTCATAGGTTCATTCTAAGCTGGTAAAGGCTTGGTTCAGAGTAGCTCCCAGGAAACCAGGGGGGCTAGGAGACCATGTCCCTGACCCACAGTGTTTTTGCCCAAGTCTGTCTTGACAACAGAGCCCCTGAGAATGGGAAAGAGGGAGACAGGTGTGGCCATCCTGCTCAGCTTCCAATGCCTTGTGGTTGCCTGAGGCCACACTCACCTTCGTAGGACAAGACGTGGCCTTTCTTGCCCTCATAGATGACATGGCCCTTAGGCAGGGTGTCTTCCCGGGCCCGGTCCAGGCGACTTGGGCTGTCCTCACCGACAATCCTGCTGATGGTGCCTTTGTAGAGGACGTCAGCTGGCGTGCCCTACAGGTACAGAGGGGTAAGTGCCTGGAGCTGTGGGCGACCCTCATGACTCACCCACAGTCATACACAGAACACAGCCTCAGGTGATATAGTTCCTGAACAGTGATCAGTTGCTGCCAATGATGGACAGTGTTCCAAACACCCTGCCACTCACCTGGTCACTGAGGCAGAGGACCAGCACTACCAGAAAGTGTTATTATTTGATTTCACTGAGATGCTCTGTAACCCAGGCTAGCCTAGAACATACCATCCTCCTGCCTTAGCTTCACAGGCCCACATAACATTGCATGTTATTGTGCCTACTTCAGTTGGGTAAACAGGTATAACAGTCATGGGACCACCCAGGCACCTTGTCCTAGCCTGGAACTGCCAGGTGCTACTGACTTACACATCCCCATCCTCTGTCCACTATAATGACCAAAAATATCCCTAGATCCCACCTAATATCCCCTGGGGACAAGTTTGACAAACTAAGAAACACCACTTTAGAGGGGGGTGAGCAGTCAGGAGAGGAGTTCAAGAAGAGTACAGATGGTCTTATGGACCAGCACCCATTCTGTGTGACTTCTGAGAGCTGTTAGCATAGCCTTAAAGACAGACCTTCGGGGATGAGGGGAAGGTTACTCTGAGCTGCTGTGTGACTGTTATCAAATCACCTCACCTCTCAGAGTACATATGTACAGAATGAGGGCCTGGCCTTGACTCTCAAAGACCCCAACATAGACAAGGTCCCCCCAAATCCTGAGGTCCCTCTTCTATGACCCCAGGAGCAGATTTGGGGTTCTGCTATGTCCAAGCTGGGTGCCCCACTGGGCTTGCTCTACTGAGTCCCTGTGAGTGACTCTGGCCACTCATCTTGGACTTCAGGTGGGTAGAGCACTCAAAGCTTGGGGCTCCCCGAGCTTCCCTGGCATGCTCATATATGGACAGTAATACACAGGGTGGTGATGGAGACAGCTCAGGTGGTCACCTGGATTGGGAGAGCTGGACAGAGGAGTCAGACATTGGTCAGCAAAGGCCTTTTGCACTAGCTAGTGCCTGGTTGCCAAGTGGGGAGTATGGTGGGGAGGCACTGCTGTTTGGGGGCTCCAAGTACAAAGATGCAATCAGGCTGCATTCCTACTTTCTATAACTCACAGATGAAGTCCTTGAAACAAGGGAGCTACCACAGTCTTCTTACAGAGTGCTCTAAGGCCCACATATGAGACAGGGAGCTGAGCAGGATATGGGGCCAGGTGGCCTTGAGCTCTGGGGCGGTCAGACAACAGTGGGTACTATGATCCCACTTGCTATCCATGTGGTTCATCAATATCTATGTCACTGACTATCCCAAGTGAATAGACCTAAGAGTGTCAACCACCACTCTCCTTGCATCCAAATCAATGGGAGGGGTACACATGGCCTTGAGAACAGGGAGCACAGGGTGCCATGCCCCTGGGTGGGTCACTCAGCACCTGGCCCCTACAGCACATGGAGGCCAGAAGCTTCGAGTGGGTGCCCACCTTGAATTCCTATGGCTTCCTTAGAATGACTGTCCCAAGAAGACTTCTATCAGAGAGGAAACTGAGTCAAGGAGAAGCAGCCCCTGCAGGAGTGCATGGCAGAGTTGGAACTTGGGTGCCCTTGGCTGGACTTCCGCTTCTGCTCTGAAAGCCCAAGATTTAGAAATGGACAGAGTCTGGAGACACCTGAAGCATGAAGGGCTGTCTCCGCAGGGCTGTGAGGTTGCGTGAGTCAATATGACACTGTGGTGAGCAGTCCTGTGGCTAGGCCCTCTGCTTGTCTGTGCATGCTGTGTGGGGGCTGTGTACACAGGCTCAGCCACACAGTGGGTACTATACCCAGCCTCGCTACTGGCTCACATCCACTACTGAATCCATCAGTCCTGCCCTAAAGAGCTTGCTCCCTCAAGTTCTTCTCACCATGCTGACACAGCACCTCTTCTTCTGGCCCAAGTGACTTTCTTGGTCCAGGCACTTTACTGATTCATGGCTTTGACACTCTGGTCATCCTGCCTGGTTGTCTCTAATGTTGGCTTCCTCCTGTCACACCTCAGCTCCTTGAGGCAGTGAGGCCTGTTCTGCTCAGTATCCTAGGCCCGACCCCACGTGGCACAGTGAATCATGCAACCTCATTGTCTCTGGTCTGCTCCGAGGTCAGCCTGCCCAGCTCTGCCTGCTGGCCTGTGCCACCCTGCCCCTGGCACCTACGTGTGTGATGGAGCCACGGTAGCTGGGGCCGTCTGCAGTACGGGCGCTGGGGAGACCCTTTGTGATGCTCCCGCTGGTGGTGGAGCCCAGCGCCGTCCCTGGAAGGCATGAGACACAGCATTTAGGACCCTAAGCCTGAAAGCCACCTGATTATACCTATTGGGGGCTCAAAAGGGGACAGCTGTGAAGAAAGCTTCTGGGCCCCGATAGATGAAGAAGGTGGTCAGTCTGGCCTCACCTCTCAGCACAGATGTCTCCTGGGCAGTGGGCATTCCCAGACTCTCAGGTGGCCCAGCCTGACCCCGTGGGGACAACTGCTCCTGCTTCACTCCACCGAAGGGTGCTGGGGACAAGTAAGAGCATGAATGGGACCATGGGAGGATACAGGGAGGTTCCAGGTAGCCCTTCCCATTGGGCTTCCACGGCCAAGATCTCCCACACTCAGCACAGGTCCCAGGAGCCAAAGGTCACAGGATGCTCACCCAGCTTCTTAGGGTCCACAGCAAGAGGCAGCCCCATGGTGAGAGGGCCTGTGGGGGCCTTGGCATGCTCTGAGTGTGGGACACGCAGCTGTACTGACATTCCCTGTTGGGGCAGAGAGCAGGTCACAGCCAGATCCAGGCATGGGGAGAAAGGCCATGGGCAGGCCGCAATACGCCAATACCTCTCCAGATACCTGTGCCCACGTAAAGGACACAGTGCAGAATGCTCTGGCGAGGCAGATACTTAAGTGTATGGATGCGGTGGAAGTAGGCAGGCCACAGAGGTGACCAAGTGTACACCATGTGACACTGCTCCATGGCCTGTAGCCCTTCCACTTAACCAAGGGTGAACTAAGTCCCAGAGATACTGAGTGACTTGCCTAAGGATGCATAATCAGTGACCTGAATGGACCTACAGACTGGCTTGAGTAGCCAGAGAGGGTTCCAGTCAGCTTCCAGCACCCTACTCCCTGGAAACATTTCAGGGCCCTAGAGTCTGTCCCAACCTAGGCTTCATGGGCCAACCATGATGTGGATATCAGCCCAAGAGAGAAGGCCCTCACCTGGGAGATGGCACCCAGCTGCCTCTCCAGTACACCAGGGTGCTTGGCAGAGGAGATGAGGGGTGGTGGGTTGGAGATGGGGGGGCGTGGCAGGACAGGCCTGGCACTGTCGTGGAGACCCAGAGGCAGTGGGTGACCTGTAGGAACACATCAGTGTATACTGGGGGCCCTTTTACACGTCTCTGTTTCAGGGGTAACCTGAGCCCTCCACTGGAACCCCACAGCCCTGGACCTTCCCTCCACACCTGCAGTGTCACCCTTTAGTCCACACCTAAGTCTCTAAGCCAGCACCCCTGTTTCTACTCCTTCCCTATGACACTACTCCTTCACAAAGGCCAAATGGTCTTTTCAAAAGTCACCAGGCCATACCCTCCCTCTGCTGTAAACATGTGATGGCTCTCCAGTGCCTTCAGGAGTCACCCCTAGCATGGCTTTTAGCATGATGTGACTGGGCTGCCTGGGTAGTAAGTTTCTGCTGTGACATCCTGATTTGGCACCTCAAGCATCACATACTTCTTGCCTCTGGACTTCACCACATGCTGTTACCCTCTGCCTAGCATGCCTTTCCCTTTTCTTTTAGCTCTCTTGGCCCACTGGTCCCTCAGGGTTAGCTCTACCTAGGACAGCTTCTACTGATTATCAGTCTGTACTGGCCCTTGGTTGTGTTACTTTTATTGTTGGTAAGGCCCACCAGGGCTAGAAAAACTAGGTGGCTCTCAGAATAGTCTCATGGCATCCATCAACCAAGGCTGGCCCTCCCCCAATTCTAGGCTATTCCCACTGCCCATTCTCTCGCTCTGAACCACTACTGGAAAACATCTCTCAAGCAAACCTGCCCTTCACCAGCTCAAGTTCCTCCTGTAACTCTCTTTGGCTACGACATATAGTGCTATAGCTTTCCCAAATCTTAGCCCCAATCCCCATCCCTGCACTGAACAGGCCATCCCTTCAGCCAGGTCCTACACCATCCTTTGCCATGTGGTCCTGAGCCAATGCAAACAGCTGCTGCCTAATAATAGTGTGTGGGCCAAACCAACATAGTGGCTACTCACCAGGGGGTGTGTAGGAGAAGGCGGAGGGGTCCGGGGCATGTGGAGAGGCCTTGATCACCTCACGAGTAGGGATGGGGAAGGGCAGGCCTGATGTCCAGCGTTGGGGTTCAGTGGGCAGCTTCGGGCCCTCAGTTGAGAAGGCTGGGAAAAACGAAGGCTTCTCTGCTGGGGGGTGGAGGGGTGAGGTGGATGGTCAGGCAGTGATCTGCCACTCCTTCACCTTGCAGTGCCCTGACCAGGCACTGATAGCAAGGGCTCCCCTGGAAAGCCTCAAGTCTGCATGCCCGAATGCTGCCCATGACACTTGCTCATGGGAATGGCTCACGGCAGTGGCCAGGGTCCTCAGTGGCCCCCGAGACCACATTGCACTTCTGTGCACAAGAATGGGGCTCTGACTATGAATAACTGACTTAGATGGGGAAACCCAAGTATTTCTGATTGCTGAAGAGAAGAAATCCCTACTTGGCAATCCTAAGCAGTAAGAGAAACAGAAAACAAGTATGAAAATTCCATTCTGAGAAACCTGGGCATATTCTGACCCAAAACTACATACAAAGGAAAGGGGAGTGGACACTTACTTTATAGATCACTGACATTCTAATGAGATATGGTTTCTCTGGCACCCAGTTCAAATGTATTATGTAAGATGGAAAGGGGGGGGCTTTCATTTGCTAATAGAGGACTTGAAGTTTGGGGTGAGGGTGGGGGTAGGGGTAAGGTGAGGATGGAGATAGGGGAGGGGGTCTGAATATCAAAATACATTGTATGAAATTCTTGAATCAATTAAAAATAAAAAAGAATGGGGCCCTGAGATTTGATAATCCCATGGGCATGTCACATGTGCCAGGTGAAAGAGGGCTCATCAGACCTCTAAGTTGGGAGTGGCCAACAGCAGCTTAGGGCCTCTCTAAACTCTGGCCACCTCTGTCCATGGAGCTACTATCCATAGCAGAGCCAAAGACATGCAATGGAGTGTATGTGTGGGAAGGCTGAATTCTTTGTTCCGTGGCTTGCTCCCCGAGACCACACCAGCTGCATCTAAGGGAACAGGAGGGGTGGGGAAGGTTTGCTGAGCACTATGGCTGCATGTTGCAGCACAAGTGGTTAAGCAAGCCAGCCATTTAGGGTGAGTATGAGCACAGCAACAGTCTGTGTGTTGAGTATCTACTCTGCCAGACACTGCAGGTGCTTATGGCGGACTCACAGACCAGATCTAGTTGACAACATCTCTTTGATCAACAGCCAAGTGTGGCCACACAGGGAACTGAACCCAGGTGATTGAAAACAGCAGCAATAGGTTATGGTCTCCTGGGAGACACTTAGCATATTTGCTCCTTCACCTTCCTGACATCCTCTAGGAATGGATGAAGAGAGAACCCATTTCAAAAACAGGAAGACCGAGGCCTCAGATGATAAGTGCAAGGGAGAGCTGCAAGCTTTGGAAGCTGGCTGTAGCCCATGGCTTGTGCTTCCCTATCCCACATGACCCATAGGAAGAACAGCATGTGCTCTTTGCCTGAGGTGCCCAGGGTAAGGCCAGTCCTCACAATATCCCCACTAGCCTTTTGCTTTGGCTGAAATCTGTTCTAAGCACCAAGTGTTGGGCAGATGCGTTTTGCTGTGTCGGGGTGGGGGTCACAACCCACCTAGGAGCTGTGAAGGACAGTGGTCATGACCCCTGGGATAGGAACAACAGACAGATGTCCTCTCCTAGGCTACCTCCACACACAGGTTGTACTGAAGGCAAGGCGTGGCAGGAGAGTGCTGAGATCCATTAGTGATGCCCACCATGGGTACAGCATGCAGGGGCAGAGGCCTGAGTGCTGCAGTCTGCATTTCTCCCCTAGGGGAGACCAAACTCCTCTTGAATTTGTACTCTAAAGAGGCGAAGGCCCATGGGAATAACTAGTGTGGGATTGGTCTTGTCAAGCCACAGGGATTGTTCAAGGCCAGGAAGTTCAAATACCTGGGCCTGGGTCCCCTGGCGCCCTGGCCCTGTGTGCACTTTGGCTGCCCCTTCCAGCTTGGCCCTATAAAGTTAGGAGGACAGAAGAAGTCTCAGGCTGGAAGGAAATGGGGCCAGACCTGGCCAGTGCAGGGGTGGCTGAGAGCCAGGAGGGACAACCTGTTCTTCCAGCAGTGCCTGGGGATCCTGAGGGACCGGCCTGGTCTCAAGGCTCCCAGCTGGAGCCAGGACAGAGAAGGCAGACTTCCTGAGTTCTGGGTTCATGTGTCCCCAAGGGAGCAGAGCTGTGGCCAGACCACATGAGAGGTACAGAGCCCGCCACCAGGTGCAACATACCCCAGAAAAGAGTCTAGGAAAGAATGCTGTCCTGGCCACATGGATGGGCCCAAGGCCAGCCTCACTGACCTCGAGCTGTTGGCTCCTTTCCCAGGACCTGGGACCGATCACGGCAGGACCTGGCTGGCCCTGGGTGGCTCCAGCACCGCTCTGCTATAGCTGCCCAGCATGACCCCACCAGTGGCTTTCCCCTCCTACCTGCATTGTCTTGAATTGGGCTGGCACTGTTTTCATGCCACACGCTGTTCTTGTACCACACCTGACCCCTCAAAGTTCATCTTTCACTGTAGTGTGCCCCAGCCTCGACACTAGTGAGATACCCTTGCCCTCATCCCCTGACAGTCATCACCATGTCCTGCTGGCTTTGCCTTAGGAACAAACTCAAGCCTCCCCTTCCTCCCACTTACATAGCTACCTGCGAAGTCCAGGCTACCCCATGGTTGCTGGGAATAGTACCTCAGCCTCCCACCCCTGCCCTACTCCTTGCTGCCCTTTCTTAAAAGGAACCAGACACTTATTTTCCCATGACCCCAATCAGATGACGTGCCCCTCCCCCAATGCACTGTCACTCAAAGCTATTCTCCGTTATACACAAAATACCTCATTATAGTCAAATACCTCTTTGACACTCCCCTCCCACCTCTTCAGACCCAGAAGAACTTTCCAACTCCAGGACTTTTGCATGTGCTGTTTCTACTGCCTGGAATGAACTTTCTCCCATCTTCCCATGGCTGACTCCTCTCCCTTCAGCGGTACCTCCAGCAACTGCCTAGGCAACAGATTTGCCCATTAGGCATATAGCATGTATGTCATTCTGCATCCTCCCTGCCCCATTTGCTTTTCACCCCCTACCCCCTACCACCAGTTCTTCCTGCTTCCAATCCTGGTGTCCAGCAGCACAGATGTCCACACACTAGATACCCCGGCAGATGCTGCCCTCTGTCTGCAAGAAGGATCTGTACTGCATGCTGCAGATGAAGTACTATGGGCAGCAAGCAGGCTGCATGTTAGCCAGGAAAGCTTGACCAGTCCAGCTCAGGCTGGCCCTGCTCTTGTCCCAGAACAGAGATCTGCACAGCCCCCTTAGAGAGCCCCAAGGTCATATGCAACATGAATCACACCAAAGAGGAAGTGCAGATACACCACACAGTGTGTACACACCACACACACACACACACACACACACACACACACACACACACACACGAGGAGAACTGTCAGCACTATATCGCCTCTGGCTTTTCTGAAGAGCCATCCTGGCCTACCCTGCTCCTGTGGCCCTGCGTCTTCCGAGCTCTGCCTGCGCTGCCATGGGACCCGACAGAGGCGTCCCTCCCACTCACCCTCTTTCTCAGGAGGAGGCACTGGGCTCCTACTCTTGCCCCGTGGGCTGCCGGCGGGCTGCTGAGGCACGTCACCCTCTGGCTGCAGGTGCTGCGTGGGTGGCGGTGCAAGAGGAGCTGGTTTCAAGGGCACTGTGTCCTCTCCGGGGGGTTCATGGATCTTGGTGACCTGCTGGGGGACGTTGGGAGGTATGAATGTCATGGCCCCATGTCAAAGGGGACAGGCTGGGGGATGGCTGTGTGTGGCCAGCACAGAAACCAGGCTCAGAGAGGAAGCTACATACACAGGCCCCACGTGGGGACAGGAGGGTCTTACCATGAGGCAAACAGTCACCACTGTCAAAAAAAAAGGACTTGTCTCAGCTGCCCAGAGATAAATGATTGTCTAGGACCCACTGTACCCACTTTCCTAGGTGCACCCCCCAATCACTGAGAATCAGGAAAGGTGGCCGCCTTGTGGAGCTGGAAGATACTTGGGTCTGACAGACAGAGTAGCTCAGACTACTGGAAGCTGTTGGCTGCAGCAGGAAGGCCAGGTCCATTCTCAGATGGGAAACTGCCGAAGGGATTACAGCCAGCTAAGTGTTGCTAGGAAATGAGGGCTCCCAAAGCCTCAAGGCAAGACCTAGCAGGGCCTGGACATTAACTGACTGATATGTCGTAGGGCCTGGGGGCTTCCTAGCTCCTGCCACCTGGACTGGGCTCAGGAGAACCTCTGGAGAGGTTGCTCAGGTCTCTAGCTCCCAGAGCTCCTCCCAGCCTTCCCACACCACAGCCTGTCTCTTGGGAACATCTCTGTCTCTTGAAAACTACTGCTGGCCTGGGAAAAGCCTCCCACCTGCCTCTTGAACAAACAGGAAATCAAGGTCAAGGTGGGCCCCAGATTCAGGGCACACTCACGATGGGTGGAATGGCGGCCGCTCGTTGCTTCAGTTGCTTCAGGTCTAGTGGCTTCTGGGGTGAGGCACTGGCCCGGGGATCGCCGGCTGGGGTGAGGAGGCTGGGCCTTGGTGACAGCAGCCTGGGGAGGGACAAGTGTCAAGTCAGGCTGAAGCAGCAGCCACAGGTTCTTGGTAGGCATTCCTGCAAAATGGGGCTGTCCTGCCTCCATGGCCTCTCTCTCAAGCCCTGGATGATGGGGTCAGCCAGGGAGGCCCTGAGCAGGGACAGAAGTCCAGAGTGATCCAGCCAACACCACTCTGCTGGGCAGCAGCACTCTTCTAGCTCACAGAGACCACCTCTGGCCCAGGCCAAAGACCAAGAGGCTGGGGCAGGATCAAATGTCCCAAAACAGCCCCAGGGTAATGATGATAGCAGTGAAACCCTGACTGGGCACCCAGGCCATGTCGGGGAGGCATTGCCAGAAGGTCCCAGACTCAACCAGAGCAGGGTGGAAGGAGGTTGAGACTCTGTAGCAATTACTCTGGTCCCAAACTCAGAGCTGCTGAAGTACCAGGGCCCTAGACTGGGGCCAATGACTCAAATAACTGGAATAAACCATGTGGGGAGCACTACCCCACCAGAAGCTTCTCCACGTTGCTGCTTTCATCAGTGGCCAACCAAGTGAGCTAGCAGGGTGTATGGGCTTTCTACCTAGAAGCCACAAATGATGGTTCCTTGGCATGCTGCTGAGCTGTAGGACACAGAGACCCACACAAGCTGTGTAGAGAGGGCCTGACCCAGTCTGCAACAGCTTGGCATAGCTGGCTCCTTTGGGGAAGCCTGTGAGTTCTAGGACACTCAACCCAGCAGCAGGCATGGGCCCCACCATGACCTGTCTGGCTGCTGGCCAACATGAGGCCTCTGAAGGAAGGGGAGGCCGAGCTGCCCAGAGTCTGTGTCTACCAGGCCCAAGGCTGGCTCTGGACTCTGCTTGGGACAGGAACCTAGTGCTGAATCCTATCCTGCCCTGAGGGCTGGCCAAGTTCCATGTCCTCAATACTCAGGGCCCAACTGTGGACCATAGGCCTAAAATTTCGCCAGAGAGCAAATTTGGGGTGAGTCCCTAAAAGTGTCAGGGCCTGTCTGCTCCTGGATACTGTGACCATCCTGGCTAAGCCATACACAGATGTGTAAGCCATAGCTACTACTGTTGGGGTGAGAACTGCTGACAGCCAGGACATGATTAAGAGTCACCAGGGCTTGGGCTGAGGAAAGCATGCCTCCTGTAGCAGATGGAGGGGTGTAGGCTCTGCTATGGCAGGAGCACACATGTGACAGGCCCTGTAGGTAGCAGCCTCTTGCCCGAATCTGCCACATGATTGGCCAAGCAAGGAGAGCAGACAGACAGGGTGACGCCTGCTGAAGCAGCCTGCAGCAAGGCCTGCAGCAAAGTATGCATGTGTGCACTACACAACATGACAGGCAGAATAGGTCACTGATTCCTCTGTCCTTCCTGTCCCTCCAGTCCACACCCATTGGGGGGCTCCTTTCCTGTTGCTCTCACCAGATCTCACTGGGTCCTGGTCCCATCTTGCAATTCCCCACTTTGGACTTCAACCAGCATGCCCTGGGTATCCAGGTATCCCTCCTCAGAAAGCCATACCCAGGATACTACAAGTTCAAGGCCAGCCTGGGCTACATAGTGAGATTCTGTCTCAAAACACTAAAAACAAACAACAAAGAAAACAAAAAAAAGGCTATATTCCAACTGATCCCAAGCTGAACTGTGTACTCAAGAGAAATGAAGATACAGGCCACAGAGAAACCCACATAGGCGTGATCCTGACAAAGAGCCAAAGTCACCCTGATGCTGAAGGGCAAAGGCACGCCCATCCACATCTGGCCCATGCTTCACCTGGGCTGAGCCCCCAAAACATGGTGCCAAGTTGGCAAGGCCAACACACAATGGGGACACGCCCCACTCCCTTCACAGGACACCCAGCCAAAGCATCAGTGGGCATCATAGCTGGGGAGGGAGTGGGATTTCCTCTGGAGTGACCACCTGTCTGCAGTGACAATGTGGTGACAATTGTACAGCTCCATAAAAAACAATAAAAGAGAAAGGTGGCCGTTACAGCAAGCACAGCTGTGGCAACTGTGCTGTTCCTTGTGGGCAGTGACAGGTACAACATGCTATATTTTAGGGATGTGTGCAAAAGTAGAAAAAACACTTAACGAACAGGTCTATGAAAAGCTGAGGCTCTCGGGCCTTCACAGCGCCTAAGGTAAAACCCTAACTCCTTGCCAACCACCTCTCAGTTCCTTTCCCTGTTGGTCACTCCACTCCCCGCCATGGGCCTCTGTGAGGACCACAGAACATATGGGTCTTTGCCTTTGCCTTCCCCTCAGTACTTCACACTAAGAGCTCTGGCCAGCCTCCAGGGTTATCTCCTTGGAGGGACCCACCTTGGCCTGTCTCTACCCACGTGCCTGTGAGCTCCAACCTTTCTTCTCGTCCTCATCAGCACCAGAGCATTCAGAGGCAGGGCCCTGCTGGTCCCATCTCTAGCAGCTCCAGAGGCCATGTTTTCCGCATGTGCTGTGCCACAAAGGGGTAGCCCCAAGGCAAATAGTAACTCTCAAGGAACATCAGCCAAGTGTCAGTCCCCCTCCCTCCTGCACAGCCCCCTGCAATTATAATGATGAAGCAACCATGTGGCTGCATCCTCCCATCTGACAGATGGAGAAACTGAGGCTTTGTCCTGCCAGAAAGTACCAGGCCCCTTCTCTGCAAGTGAAGGGTATCATAAAGGCACTATCTCTGCTCTGCTTCTAAGCAAACTCCAGACAGCCCTCCTGGGCATAGTATGGGGCACCAGTTAGTCTCTTTCACAGGGCTTGGTGGGACCATTCAGATGCAGAGTTCATGAGGGCAGCCAGGACCTGGGGTCCCCTGGGCCCTTTAGTCTATAGTCCTTCCCAGGAGGCCATGAATGCTGAGCCTGCTGATGTACTTTGCCTGTGTCCCGGTACCTGGCCCTGCATGGTGTGGCTGGTGGAGGGTGAGTGGCAGACTGCCAGCCAGGAAGCGTCCAGCAGCTCCTAAGAACAAAGGCAGGCCCCAGGGCAGGGGACTGTTGGTCCCATGGGGTGTGATTGGCCTGGTGTCCTTACTCCCAGTCCTGCAGCTAGAGAGCAGGAAGGAAGGTAGACAGCTGCCAGGCACTGGGGAGGGAAGGACATGGCCACTCGGTGCTATAGGGGAAGGGAGCTGAGGGAACTGGCCTGTCCAGAGCCCTAAAGAGCCCGAGGGTCAGGGCTGGTAGATCTGGGGCATCATTCAGATGTAGCATGTGAGTCACGTGTACCCATCACTCAGTGGACTCCAGAGACTATGTGACTGTTCTCAGTGGTAATATACTCCAGCAGAGACCCCCGAGACATCCTGGGGTACCAGGGCATTCCATAGACTGTGTCCCTTGCTGTGCCTGTTGGATAAGAAGTCCAACACCTTGAGGGTCCCCAGAAACCCACCAGCCAAGCCTTGCTTATCCAGGGCCACTGTAGGGCCATCTGCTGCCCAACTACTCTGTGAGGTCTTGTGGGTAGAGTGCTCAGGGAACCTAGGAGGCCCACAAAGCATCCACAAGTCCCAAGAGAAACGGGGAACCAGGGGAAGCAGGAAGGGCCCTGTGTGGGCTGGCCTGAAGGTCATGGTCTCCTCCCTTACTCTGCTGGAACTTTTCAGAGACTTGAGGGGAGAAAAAACAGACCTTGCTGTTTGCAGTCAAAATAAAATGAGTGACCTGCCTCATCAGGAAACTATTCCTCCAGCTGTCCAGAGTGGGCAGGGCTGTCCAGATGTGATCTGAACTATTTCCAGGCCCGCCCTTGAGGTTGCAGATGGTCCCTCACTCAGAGGGTATCACTGGCACTGGACTGGGGTCTTGGAGTTTCCAACACCCCAGGTGAAGATGTGCAAGGTGCCTGAGGGACAGGGAGATTGCCCCCTAAGAGACTATCACCTCAAGAGATAAGGCTGGGGTGATATCTGGCCAGGGGCCTCCAGCATCTGGGCCCTGTGTGTTTACGGATGAATTACTACATCTTTCCACTCACTGTCCCCATAGCAAGCATCTCTGTCGCCATCCCTGGGACAATCCAACTCACTGGGACTCTCTCGGTCCCTTGAGCAGCAATAGCTGGTTCAGGGATCAGTCATGGCTGGCCATAGCCAGCAGAAGTCTTCTTGTGTCTTCCTAGAGCCCTGAGAACACATGCAGTAGCCTGACCCAGAAGCTGGTACTGCCCCACACAGGCTTGCTCCTACCCCAGGACCTTGCACTTGCCATTCTTGCCATGGGAGCCTAGATTTGGGTCCTCCCTAAGCTCCAGACCTATCCTCAGGCACCTGTGCAGGGAGCTTGTCAGGAAGCTATGCTGATGTATTCAGATGAGCTCACAGGGGAACAGAGAAGGCCCCAATATGGGGACTGTCATCCTTCAAGGAGGAAAGAATTTGGACTGAGATGCACAGGGAGACTGAGTGACTACAGGGGCTGGGATTAGAAATGCTATGCCTATAAGCCAAGTACTGCAGGCAGCCACCAGTAATGGAAAAGGCGGGATGGTTACTTCCCAAGCCATCAAAGAGGTGGCTGGGTGACACCAAGATCTGGACCTCTGGCCTCTACAACTGCTGCTTTAAGCTACCTCGTCTGGGGTGTAGCCAGGGGAAGCTAACATAAGTACACTGCTAGCTAACAAACACACACACTGCTAGGCACCCTCCCCTGGAGCCTCCTATGGCTACAGTTGCCTCCTGCCAGCGCCTAGCTCCAAGTTGCCTCAAATGAGTCTTCCCATTATTGTCTATTTCTGGCCTCAGTCCCATGCTGGTCCCCTGAACCAGCCACAACTTCCATAGCTCCCAAGGATGGGCAGGGCCACCTGTGTGCCACGCCTTGTCAGATAGCAGGCATGCCCTGTCTTTGCAGAATGAAAACAGAAAACCCAAAACCCGCAGCTGGGTTGGCTGATGCCTCTCACCTGCCCTTGTCGCCTCCCTCTGGTTCGTCCACCTCATCAGCGCTGCAGGTGGCGCTGGAGTCACTGTCCTGGGGGGCACCCGAGCCTGAGCCTGAGCCCTTGGCTACAGGAACCTTGTTGCTCCCACCTTCCTTCTTCTCCACCTTGAGTGGCACCTCAGGCACAGTCTCAATGGCTTCCGTGCCCTTGGACTTGTCTGTAGGCTCCTCCTCAGCCTCCTCCTTATACTCGCTCTTCACACTCCTTGCCTGCTCCTCGGTGGTCTTGGGTTCCTCTGTCTTCCCCACATCCAATACTAGCTCCTCAGCCACGGGTTTCTGCTCCTCTGTATCCTCTGTCCGGGAAACTGTGGCCACTTCATCTTCTTGCTCCTCCTTGGGGACCACAGCTGGGGGTGTGGCAGGTGAAGAGGGAGCAGCTGGGGATGGTGGGCCACTAGTCTCAGGGGCCAGGCCAGGCTCAGGGGGAGCTGCAGGTTCTTCTGGGGTTGGAGGGATGGGTGGCTCGGCAGTGGTGGGCAACACCTCAGGGCCTGCGGGTTTAGGTCCAGTCTGCCCAGTGTCCTTGATGGTCTCCGTTCTCGGAGATGGGACGCTTTCGGTATCTGAGCTGTTGTTGACAGCAGCTGTGCAGGGAAGGAGCAGGAAGGGGTGAGCATGCTACAAGCTCTCAAGGCTATCAGAACAGTCCCAAGCTCCTGTGCATCTGATGAAGCCCTCATCCCTCAAGAGCCTTCTCTGCTGTTGCCCTGGCTGGCTTGCAGCTTCAGCTTCTCTATCCTGTTGCCCCTGCTGCCCAAAGATTGGCCAGTCCCAACCCCTGGGCACTTCTGATGGCCAACACCCCTACAAAGTCGGTCCATGGACAGCCTCAGGCCAGGCCTTCATTTGGGGTCTCCATATATCATCTGGTGGGCTCTGCACCCCACCTGTGGTTCTCCCAAGGGAAATTCAGGCTTTCTCTCATCAGGCCTCAATTTTCCACCTACAGAATAGGGGTAACTAAGCTCCCACCTCACAGGGAGGCTAAAATGGCAAATGACTGTGAGGTCTGGGACTGTGTACTGTTCTCAGGCTATCACCATGACAATGTGGCATGATATAAGAGCAGTGTGCGGGAGCTGCCTGGGCAGGGCCATGACCACGCCTCACTTGTGCAGGTTTCCCACATAGAAGCAGGGCAGGTTTGGAGCAAATGGATGTGTGATACATGCACATGTGTACTGACAGGCACCACGAAACCCAGCTGCAGCCCTGGTTCTATAGCCTCCAAACCCACTCCTGCCTCGTCTTTGGGTCCCAAGTCCCTTGTTCTCAGCAAAATGAACCCCTGGAAGCTAGGCATCGCTCCAGGTTGGGGAAAGGAACCCTGAAAATGTCCCAGGGAAAACCTGAGAGAAAAGAGAAGCAAGGTTTTCTGACCACAGTGGTGAGGGGAACAGCACATGAAACAGATACTGTGTGTGGAGGGGGCACAGAGGCAGAAACAGCACATAGTGGGGTATATAAGCAGAGACATGTGATTTCAGATACCCTCTCCAACCTAGTTGGACCTCCGCCCCTCGGCCACCAACCTTGTTCTTACCTGGGCCACTGCACTCTGCTCTGGGCACCTCATTCCCAGAACCCTGCAAGGCTGGAAAGAGGTTAAGAGTAGAGTTAAGAGTCAAGGTGGTGGGAAGTACTGTGGGAGAGGAGGGCCCGGCTGCAGGTAGCACAGAGTCTAGGGACCAGCATGCCACATTAACCTATAGCAGCTCTCATAGGCAGGGCCAGGTGGCTCCTTGATGGGTGCTGTGGACACAAGCGAGGGTTGCTGCAGCCCACAACCAACAATGTGCCCTCCAGCATTCCCAGCAGAAACAGCACATAGTGGGGTATATAAGCAGAGACATGTGATTTCAGATACCCTCTCCAACCTAGTTGGACCTCCGCCCCTCGGCCACCAACCTTGTTCTTACCTGGGCCACTGCACTCTGCTCTGGGCACCTCATTCCCAGAACCCTGCAAGGCTGGAAAGAGGTTAAGAGTAGAGTTAAGAGTCAAGGTGGTGGGAAGTACTGTGGGAGAGGAGGGCCCGGCTGCAGGTAGCACAGAGTCTAGGGACCAGCATGCCACATTAACCTATAGCAGCTCTCATAGGCAGGGCCAGGTGGCTCCTTGATGGGTGCTGTGGACACAAGTAAGCGAGGGTTGCTGCAGCCCACAACCAACAATGTGCCCTCCAGCATTCCCAGGCCCCAGCCTCTCCTGCTTTTCACGCTCCTTGGAGCCTAGAGCAGGACACCCCCCCCAGATATAGCACTAGTACCACCAGCAGGAAGTCAGCCATGGGCACACTGGGGATGTGACCCTCAGTGACCTCCTCAGGATACCCATTCACCACACTTGCATATGAGGAAACTGAGGCAGTAATCATCTGGGGCCACACAGTGGGGCTTGATCCCTGGGCTTACTGTTCTACCTGGTTCCCTCTTCAGAGCCAGACAATAGAAGGTTGAGGCCACTGAGGTCCTGTGGACAAGTGGCCAGTGCCCCCTTTCATGGGCGTTGGTGCCTACTCCTGGAGGCTGTCAATGCATGCCTTGAACTTGGAGTCCTCAGAGCCATGCAGGAGCTATGAAGGATGGGTCTTGGGAAGGGGAGTGGCTTCAAGTTCAATTCTGCCCACCTGTTTACTCTGGACAACATTGCATTGAGCAGAGCCACCCCACCAGGTCCCCAGTGTGTCCAGAGGCCACATTTACAGTGCCTGGCACAAAGTAGGCACCTTACAAAACTCAGTGACAGGAGGAGCGTGAGGTCCCCTTCCCCTGTTGGCCTCATAGCCACAGAACACAGGGATCTAGTCATGCTGCCGAACCAGGTGGGTTTCAGGGACCTGGGGTGACCACTCTGTGCCTCAGTTTCCTCTGTGGACACAGTGACACCGTCTTGATGGGTTGTGGTGATGGAGTCAGGACTATGTGACTTCCATGAGAGTTACCACACTGCCTGTAAGCACAGCCTAGAGCAGTCAGGCTCCTTCTACCATTCCATGGAGGGTTCTGCAGTGTGCCTGGGCTGGTTGAGTCTTCTGGAGACCTGGCTCCTACCTCAGCCCCATCCTGGCCACAAGGGCAGGACCTCAAATCCTTATGGGACTGATGGATTCAAGTCATACCATATAGTCCTCAGATGGGTGTTTCTCAGGCCATCTGAGAAACCCTGTGAATGAGCATAGTACTCTTGGTGAGAAGCTGTTGGGGCTTTCCAAACTGCCAACCCAGAGAAATCCCAGGTAGCGACACAGACCTCAGTCACTCTGGCTCTGCCCTGCCCCTCCCCTGCTCCACCAGCCTCTGTGGCTCACAATTACCCCATTCTCTTGCTGGGCACGTCTGTCTTCACAGTGTCCCATTTGTGTTATGCCAACTTTGCTTGTGAAGAAAGCTGGGAAGACTCTCAACAAAAGGCTTGGGTCTTTCCCAGCGACAACCTAGGGCCCAGCCTGGGGTACTGAGGGGACTCATGGCCTTGGCCTCTTGCTACAGCCTATATGGAGGCCATAAGCCAGAGTGGAAGAGCCAGGCAACTTGCAGCTTGAGCTCGTCTATGTCTAACTGTAGGCCTCAGGAAGCCAGGGGGAGCCTCATGTTCTAGGACAACAGAGCCACAAACAGTCTCAGACATGTGGCTGGAGAGCAGATTCCACTTGCCCAGAAGCTAAAGGCTCAGCTGAGGACATGGGGAACAAAAAGGCAGGGACAGTGGCTAAGCCAGGGTCTCCATGCTTGGGAATAAGTCTAGAGCTAGCTCCTCTCCACAGGGTCAAAGAGATGCAGATGTGGGGCAGAGATGATGATTCTGTCAGCAGGAGCAGGGCTGATGTGCTCCTCACACCATCCTGGTCTACAAAGGTGCTACTTAGCACACACACATTACCCAAGGTGAAGCCCTCATTTCAAAAGCCTCCTACAATTGTAATTCTTCCCGAGGAGCAGAGAGGCTGCTATGCAAGTCATACTGATTCCCCAACACACACAGGTGTTGGAGATGGAACCCAGGGTCACTTGTCTGCTAGACAAGTCCTCTGCCACTGAGCCATACCACAGCCGTAAACAACTATTTTCCAGAGGTATCTACAGGCTGGCCTGGCCATGCTGTCAGACGGTTGGGGGAACACAATGAAGTTGCCACTGTGGCATCTGTTACCTCCATTCTTCCTGGCTAGGATGGTCTGCCTGTGCATGTGGCTCATTTTCTCCCTTCCTCCCAAAGCCTGAGACCTCACCTTCTGCCTCCTCGGCCAGCTCTTCCTCATTGGCACTGGCACCCGATGCCTCTATCTCCTCGTCTTCAGCAGCAGGTGGGAAGGTTGCCTCCTCACTGGCTGCTGCAGGAACCTTCTTCTTCTTCCTCCGTGCATTCCTCTCTTTCTCCTGGACACAGGAGGCGGGAATCAAACTGGGAACTCCCTGTCCCAAGGCCACAGGGAGCCACAGATGTAAGGGCAGCAAGCCTGGCCACGTGATTGTGGGGGTGCCCTTCCCACTCATCTCATCGCAACAGCCATGCAGGCCAGAGCTATTTTTACCAAGGGCTTTAACCACACCACATGTCCCAGCAGGGCCCTGGGCACAGGCTGGACCAGGCTGGCTTCGGAAGGCCACAGTGTCACAGTGTATGCTTATAGAGCATCAGGCTTGGTAGCAGCTGTGGCCAAGACAGTCACTGCCTGAAGGGCTGATCTGGGGTTACAAAGGGATCAAATGGAGATGGGAGAGAGCACAGAGGGCCTGCTGGACAGCTAGCTGGTCGGGTTTCTGTAGGGAGGTAACAAATTTGAGTTAGGGTCTAAGTGCAGAGGGAATGGCCAGGAGAGGCACTAGCACAGAGTGGTCAGGGAAGGGTGTGAATAAGCCCATGCTTTTCATTCCTCCCCAGTCCCCTGACTCCTGGTCCTCGTATTCAGGGCCCAGCTTCTCCCTCCCAACACGGAGACATTCAAAATCCTAGCACAAGTCCAGAGCAACTTGCTGAGGCTTCCTTAGGCTTGGTATGCAGGGCAGAGTCAGGTCACATGTATAGGTTTGAAGTGACCAGGGCTCTCCTGTGGGGGCATTCTGGATCTAATGTGGCAACCCTGTTCTGGTGTCGGGGAAGGGGTACAGCCTGAGGCACCTAAGGTGCCCTTGGCTATCATTGACTGGACCCCAGGATGTGTGTTTGGAAGTGGGTCTCCACTGAAGAGGCCAATAAGGAACAGGCCCCATAAGAAGAAAAGGGAGGTAAGCGGAGATCCAGTGTGACTGACAACTTCAGGAGACCTTGTAGAGATGGAGTGGGGGCAGGGCAGAATAAAAAACAGATGCCATGGGGGGGGGGGCCTAGAGAGATGGCTCAGTGGTTAAGAGCCCTCTTGCAGAGGATCCTGGTTCAGTTCCGAGCATCTACATGGGTAGCTTACAACAGCCTATAACTCCGGTTCCAGGGGATATGATGCCCTCTTCTGGGCTCCTTAGTTATCAGACACTCATACACTCACATAGTACACATACATACACAGCAAAAACACTCACACATAAAATAAATAAATCTTTTTTAAAAAAAAAGTCTGCCCAGGTCAGTAGTCCCAGGAGCTGGAAGAGTCTGAGAAAAGGAGCCAGCAGCCTGCCAGGACTGCGGCCAGCACGGGAACACAGTCTGCCGTGCCAGGCTGCCTCGCAAGTGGCACTCTGTCCCATAGCCCCAGAGAGCAAAGCCACTCAAGGAAAGAGCACAGCCACACTATCCTGGGGCCACTACCCACCTCCTTCACTGCCACACAGACCCCGGAATGGGCCATGGGGGGACAGGTAAGCCATGCACACCAGATATGCCAGCCCAAACCCTGGGGAGTACAGGAAAAAATGGAAGTGCATGCCTACCCAATTGTCACCATTTCTGTCACCAATACCAGGCTACAGGCCACAGCCCTGCTCTGCCAACTTTCCACAGACTGTGTGGGATTCTCACCCTGCTACCCACGCCCACCTGAGGCCCAGCCCTGGCACCTCCAAGGAGGCCCCAGCTCTAGTCCATGGGTGCGAGAATATTGTGTGTGGCTTCTGTGGGTGTGGCTGAAGATCCCCTTCCTCCCTATCTATCTTTAGCAATAGGAACTCGGATGCACTGCCCAGGCAGCAGGATGCAAGAATACTCACAGGAACGAACAAATCAGCTTGGCCAAGCCACACGCATGCTCTCCTGGATAGGTGGGATCCCAGAACCACTCTCCAGCAAGACCAGGGTGCATGCCCTGTGCTCCCCATAGCCAGTGGGAAACCCAGCCACAGGCCAATACTACAGAACTGAGAGATGTGTGGAACAGAGATTCTGGTGACACACAAATAACAGCTGGTGCTTATTAAGCACCTACTACATACCAGGCATCTGTAAGGCACCAATCCATCTGTATACATGGCTTTCCAGCTAATCAGGAAAGCCTGCTTCCAACAGTCTATGGGATTCCTAACACCTGGAATAAGCCTATCCCCCCCCACACACATACTAGCCCTGCCACTGTACTTGGTCTAGGCCTGCCACTCCAGCCCTCACCCCAGGCCCAGGGCCTTTGCATCAGCTGTTCTCTGTCTGGATACCCTTGCCCCAGATAGCACCCACTCACTTCCTGGACTCTGCTCAGGCACCACTTCTCCAGAAGTCCTCTCTGATTTCCCTTGGGAAATTAGCCAGAGCCCTCTGACCTTCACTCTTTCTGCGTCCTTGTCTTGGTATCTTCAGGCTATGTATGTGTGAAAGTTATGTGTGTGTCATAGCATCTCTTGACCAGACACTGCTCCTTAGGCCTGGGACGGTCCCTTCTCTCACTGCTTCCCTCTCATACCCGGAGCAGAGCCAGGCACAGAACAAGCACTCCGTAACCACATCATCGCACAAATGAGTTGTACAGACAAGAATACCAGCTCAGAGAGGCAAAGACACTTGCTCAAGACCACAAGGCTCAGGAGTCAAGGAGGTCTGGCTAGAGTTTAAGCACAGCCCTGCCTGGAGCATCTCCCAGTGGCTGCTGACAAAGAGACAGCAGAAAGAAACAAGGCCAGCCAGGCCAGATAACATACTGAGCAACCTGGAGGCTGAGCCTAGGGACTGGGCCATAGACGGGAGAAGGGCAGCTTTAGGCCACACAGAAAGGGGAGGGAAACCTCAGAGAGGACATGGCTGCCAAATGTTACATAACCTGCTACACACCCGGGTCTACTTCTGGCAGCCATGTGCAGGCCAGGCCTGGGGTGAACAAGAGAAGACATCACTCACCCTGCTCCTTGGGTGGCCATGAGTGGCATGTCTATCTGACAAGCCAGGTGAGGCTGGGCCAACAGCCAGAGGTAACAGCCATGGGACCCAGAGGGCAGGTGCTCACTCTTGTTTTTGTGATTTTCTTTTTGAGACAGGGTCTAGCCATGTAACCCAGACTGGCCTTGAACTTGTGATCCTTCTGCCTTAGCTTCCCTAGTACTAGAATTACAGGTGTACACTACCATGCTCAGCTTGACATACCCTCTTTGCAGGGGCCATCGGGTGCTGAGGGGTGGGAAGCAGACAGAGCACAGGTCAAGGGCTTCTAAGAAGCCTGGCTTATATACTCCCAACAATAGGATGCTCACTCTGTACTGTGGCAGCTCCAGTCAAAAGGGACAACCCTCAGCCAAGTCTGACTTCAAGGTCCCTGCCTCTGCTTACTACTCTTATTGTGGCCCTCAGGACCCACTGGCTCCTGAGGTCAGCTGGGGTGAGAATCAGCCCACATCCAGAATAGCCTGGTCTTTTACAGGGCTGGCCACACCTCCTCCACAGGCTACCACCATGAGAACCACCTGAATGCTCAGATCAGGGGTCAGGGACCCACTTTCTAACCAGCCTGGCCTCATCTGACTCAGACCAGCATCAGTGTCTCAACTCAATAGCCTTCCCTGGCTCCCATGTTCCACTATGGCACTGGTTAGTTCCTTAGCTCAGCAGGAAACTCTAGCCATGCCTCTACCCTCTGAAAGCCAGCTCAGAAGAGTTTGGAGAAATGACTGGCCAGGATAACCTGGAGTGTGTCCCACAACTCTGCCCAGGGGCCAGGCACTGGACTATCCACAGTTAAAGTCCCTGGCCCCTCACATGCTCTTGAAGCACATGCTTTCCTTATCCCTATTCTAAAGGTGGAAACTGAGGCCCAGGGGCTAAGAAGAGCCCCAAGTACCAGCTTCAGGACAGCAGAGCTGGGGTACATGTCCACCTGCCCAGAGCCCTCTGCACTTTGGAGTGACTCCCTGCATGCATTATCTAACCATTCACCTGGAACAGACATACCACACCCAGCAGGCACCCACATCCTGAGCCCTCTGCCACCAGCACATGGCTCTCCCTGATGGAGTACTAGTGACATGCCTCATGGCCCCTTCTAAGCATTGCACAAGCACTTATGAGGAATGTACCCCTGCAGAGACCTTGGAGGCAGGTGGGGTGCTGCTAGCCTTCCCATTTCACAGGTAGAGAAACTGAGGCCCAGAGAGGACAGAGCCCAAGGTAGTACAGTCCTTAACTGCCAGAGTCTAGATTCACATGCAGGTCTTCTGGGGCCAGAATCTCTGCTGTTCATTAGCAGACACAACCCTCAGAGGCAACTGCTGCATGTAGGGATTACAGGGTCTCATACATCCAGAGGACAGGGGGTGGATGGCTGTGACATAAGGGATAGGGGAAGATGGTGAACACCAAGAAAGCAGCAAGTCCCATAGAGTGCCTTGCTGTGGCAGGCACCAGGCTCCTGACTCGCAGGGTCACCTACAGCCATGGCTACAGGCTACCCACCTTAAAGCTGAAGTACTCAGCAGGCAAAAGCCACTGCTTGAGGGTCACAGAGATGCCAGGCTGGCATGCTGAGACCTAAGCCTACTGGGGGCTCAGGTCCTCTGTACCAACATGACCCATCTGTGGTCCTTGGGAGCAGAAGGCATAGTCCCTTTGGAAATGTGGAAAGGGCGGGGGGCAGGGCAGTCACAGGTTCAGGGAAACACAGGCTTTAAACAATAGCTGGAAATATAGGGATGGCAGCTGTAGTCCTGGGGAACTGAGTAAGGTGCTGCTGGATTCTACATGGGACTCAAGGAGCGTTCTAATGGGTAACATTATCTCTGGCCTATCCTCCTGTGCTGTGTGACCCACTCACTCCCTTTTGGGCCTGGGCAGGCTACATATAACTGCAATGTATCCTCAGTTGCCCAGAAACTCATACAACTTTAAACCAGGGAAGAGTGAACATATAGTCCCCTCCTCAGTCTCTGACCTTGGCAGGAAACACATGGCCTGGAGGAAAGACAGGGTAGTCATGTTGTATTCCTGTGGGTGCAGGCCCCACTTCAGGGATTACCAGCCTGGCCAGACCTCAGTTTCCCCAGCCTAAAAATGCTGATGATCTCCTTAAGTATGTCCAGGACAGAAAAGAGGAAAGAGAGGGGAGGGCAGAAAGGTAGCAGGGCTCCCCAAAACCTCCCTGCCACAGTTGCAGAGGAAGCCTGCCCAGAGAATCTTGCAGACTCTAGGGTGGGCCGTGATCAGCCTCAGCATTCCTCCTGCCTCCAGCTCCAGGGAGCCCATTTCCTTTCACTAAAACCCAAAGGGGCAGCTAGGGAAGAGCCACACTGCTCACTTGGGCTTCATCTGCCTCTGGGTCTCATTTCAAGGTACTGAGGGCTATGGATTCCTGACTGAGTCAGGGCCCACCCACACCTCCCCATCCACAGTCCCCAGAGGGCCTCCCCCACCCCGATGATTCCTGTAGCCTATGAGGCCTGGCCGCTCCCACCCCACACCCGGCAGACTCACCATCTTCAGCTTATGTTGCTGTAGGATCTCGTCCAGGTTCTGCCGCTTCTTGTAATTGAAGTAGAAATTCTTACACTGGGATACAGTCTTGGAGCCCACCATACGGGCAATAGCTGACCAGTTCCGCCCATGTTCCAAGAGGCCTGCAGGCAGAGGGAAGGTAAGGGCTCATGCTGGCTGAGGACCAAGGGGGATGCCAAAAGGAACAGCCGGGTATTATTGGGAAACATAGTGGCAGATGCAGCCCCTAGTGGGGCCTTGGTCAGGATTCTAGGGGCCACAATGCAGACCCCACCTGGGTTCCAGTTCTTTCCCCCTTCCAGGCTAGGGCGGAGTTGGCTCTGGTGACCCAGCCCTGACACTCCGCACAGCTGCAGTAAGGCCTCAGGAGAGCAAGATGTTTTCCAGCCTCATTGCAGGTGAACAGAGTAAAGCTATGGAAGGGTAAAAGTGCAAAGTCGGGCAAGCTGGAGACCAGAGCTTAGTTATCAGGATACCCTTAGTTCTCCCACCTTAAACACTTAAAAGCCCATGCCATATTTGGGGTCCCCACAGACTGGCTGGGCTCAGTAGTTTGGGTTATATCTGTTCTAAGTCACAGCTATCCATTTCCAAGAGGTTATAGCCTGAGACCTGGAGTGGGAGAAAGCCCAGGATTGTGGAGCCCACTCCAAACTCACTAAGGACACAAGACCCTTGCTCCCCACCAGCTTTGAGGTTGCCAACCCTGGGCTGGAAGGCTATGCCCACCTGCCCACCTTTGGCCCTCTGTTCACACCTCACTGACCCTGAGTGCTCACCCCCCCTCCCCCAGTTCCCTGAAGGTAGAGTCACTTTCCCATGACAGAACCTGCCCATGGGGACCAAGGCTAGGAGGCTGATTACAGTGCTGGGAAGCAGAGCCCCAGAGCCCCAGAGCCCCAGAGCCTCGCTTACACTAACAGTATGAGAGGATTTCCCAGAACTGAGCTATAAGCTATTTTCCTCCAAACAAATCAAGTGAAAGCTGCAAATGGGGCTGTGATGAGATTTTGTGGGGGGATGGGAGAGTGGAGGAAGTGGCAGGGTGAGGCGTACATCTATCCTTCCATCCAAACTCCAGTTGGCAGCTTACTGCTCCCAAAGTAAACATCCATAAAACCCCAACATGCCAACAGGCCAAGTGATCCCCAGGTCTGTACTGCTTTAGAATCTGAGCCCGTCTTGCCCTGCCCCCATGCCCTGGTCAAGGCTATGGCCGGTTCTCACCCCTAAGACACAGGGCTCACATCACCCAGCTCAGGAGCAGACTAAAGGGGCACCGTGGGTATAATGAAGGCCTGGCTTCCCAATGTACCAGCTTCAGAGGCCCCAGGGTGTGGGGGAGGCGCTGGACATCCAGGCCACCTGCTGGCCTGCCGTGACCACAAGAGCCACGTGGCTCCAAAGCGACTCCTCAGGGCTCCTCAAGGACAGGAGGTGGGGAGGGCTGGGGCAAGGGATCAAGTGTAACTCGGCCCCTGACCTTTCCCTCGGCCCCGAGCCAGCAGCAGCTGCCACTTCCAGACCCTGTAGGCCAGGGACTGCATTTATTTATATTTCCTGAGCCTGGGGCCAAGAGGGCTCAACAAACATGTCAGGCAGGAGGGATCATCACAGGCCTGGAACCCCAGGGCAGGTCTCCATCTGCAACTGTTGGGGAGGAGGGGACCGGGGAGATGGGGACCTGGGGATGACCCAACTCTGGGGAGGGTGGCGTTTCCAAACTCAGTAAGTCAACAGGAGGTAACTGGAGTCAGGCAGCTGGGTCCCTTAACAGCCGTAGAAGCAAGGGGCTAATGGTGTGGGGTGTTACTCAGCTGTTCCTGAATATGTGTGGCACTAAGAAATACTGCACAGGGCTGTTAGGGAGCTTTTCCCAGAGTGAGTTCCACAGTCCTGGGGTACATGAGCTTCCTCAGCTCCTGATCTAGGAACCCCAGACTGTGATACTGCATAAAGAACACTTCACACCCCATGTTGTAGACAGCCCAGGTACCTGGTCTACCCAGGGAACCCTCTCTGAGAATGCCCCAGTCAAGCCTGGAACTCAAACTCAAGTACAGTCCTGGGTTCTGCTCCTTCTTCCGAGGATCCTAGCTGCACCCCAGAAAGAAACAAGGGACACCAGGGAAAGGGGATCCATGGCCACGGGTCCAAAACTCCCAGTCCAACACCATTGCCAGCCATGGTTTCCTGCAGCCCATCTCTGTCACCAACCATTCCCAGTGTGGGGGCAAGGAGGGGGTCACTGCACACTTACATCCTCTCATCCGCGTCTCCCCCTTGGCCAAGTTTTCCGGAAACATCCGGCTGGGAAGATGCTCCAGGGAGCGGAGTGGGGAGAAAAGACTGGGAGGCTGTGACCGCTGCTCCTTAGTGTCCCCTGGCTCTGCTCACATCCTCAGGAGCAGTGAGGGAGAACAACTGGTGGCACTGGCCCTGTGAGTGCTGGGGGGCGGGAGCTGCCCACCACAGTGGCCCAGAGCTCTTCCCAAAGCCCAGCCCCTGTCACCTCTGATGCTCCCAGCTGTCTGCCTTAGGGAGAAGAGCACTTCCAAGGGCGAGAGGCAGCAAAGACGAGGACGCGGGAAGTTGTCAGTTCTGCATGCTGGGTGTCTCTGTGCCAGGCGTCACCAGTGCACAATCCGTGTCCTCAGCTCCTCCAGGCACCAGTGTTCCCAAGAAGGACACTGGGCAAGGATGCTGGCCAGGAGCCCCCAGATTCCCCAAGCCAACTGAAATCCAAAGCCCAGGGTGGGACAGGCAGCCCTGCTGCGCCCAAGGGCTCTGCTCAGCTCTTCCTCCTGCCTGACCCAGCTAGCCGCGGCAGGACTGAATGTGACCTCCAGACGCTGCGGGCGGGGGCGGGCGGGGGCCGGGCACAGGCCCAGGTTCGGCAGGGCGGGCCAACTGGCACAGGCTCCCTCCCTCTCTCCCCATCCGTGGCAGCGTCAGCAGCGGTAGGAACAGACTGAAGGATCCAGAAAAACAGAGCTTCCCACCCCCGGCAGGCAGAGAGCAAGCAGCCTCTTCCGCCGCCCTCCCCTCCCGGCCAGCCAGCCGCTGGTTCCACCTGCAGTCTGCCCCCTACCCGGGCCCTGAAGCCCCAGCCAGTCAGTCGGCTTGGGGGGATAAGGGGGGAATGTGGTTGGCCAGGGCTGGCTGTCCTTCCATGGGGATTGGGGGCGGGAGAGCTGCAATCTACTTGGGAGTGCTGTGACACCACCAACCAGTTGAGGTGGGGGAAGGGCCAGAAGCTCCCATTCGTCTGGCCAAGGGTCTGGGAACCCTGGTTGCCTCCTCCTCCCTAAGTGGCCCTGATGCCCACTGTGCCCTGAGAACACCTGCTTCTAGTCCAGTAACTCTTGGGAGGCCAAGGCAGCCAAGCTGCACTCCGAACCAGCATCCAGTCAGAGCTGACTTGACTTTCAGGACTCTGGAGTCTCTGACTAGTTCTTTCTTCTAGCCTTGGCCCTTCCCTCCTACTCTAAAAGCCCAGAGGAGAGGGACAGTTTAAAGCTGCCCTGTACCCCTGGCCTTGAGTGCCTAGCAATATCCTGGGGCAGGTAAGAGGCATGGCAGATCCTGATGCTTCTGAGAACTCCACAGTGTCTTCCAAAGGGGACCACTGCCAACAGCTCATGCCGCTGTGAAAGTGTCAGGAGCCTCCAGACTCCTAGAAGGAAATCTAGAAGTTTCCAAGGGCAAGAGGCCCAGGGGAAAAGGTTGGGTTTGTCCCAACTCTAAGGAGGCCCTAGGACATCTGCATTTGTAGAGGGGCCTCTGGGTCTTCAGGGGTGTCTCATTTCCATAGCACCTATTCCCTGGGACCAGCTCTTTTGTTTTCCATGACTGCTGCTCTTCCACCCACAGGTGCTGGGGCTGCAAGAGGCACTTGGCAGAATGATTCTTCAGACATCCAAGTGTCTAAGATGGGTCCATAAGGGTCCCATGGGCATTGTTGCCACCCTACTCAGGATCCCAGAAGAAGGGCAGTGGAGCTAGTCTCCAAGGCCCCTGGGGTAGGTAAACACCCCAGCACTAGGAGCACAGCCCACATGCTCAGTATTGTTTGACCACTGCTTCACTAGCCTGCCCTGCAGTCTGAGTCCCTGACCCCACTTCTAATTTCTAAGGAAATTTTGTTCTGAGGGGTCCAGAAAGACAGCTACTAGGAAGTGAAATTGACCAAGACAGGAAGTCAAGCTAGGGGGTAGAGTCAGGCCTACAGTGGACAGAGTATCTGAAGGCAGAAGCCCTGGACAGGGGGAGGAGCAAAGCATGGCACTAGGGAGCTGGCCTGGTCACCCAAGGTGAACATTTCTCATGTGCTACCTGGGGCCTGTGAAGCGCCCCAATGGGCTCAACGGCTTAATGACTGTTCCAGTCCCATTCCCCTCCTCATCCCCGCCCCCATGATTTTCCAACAATGCCCAATATACTACCCCACCTTCCATCTTTGTCCTGGGAATGTACTAGTTCTCTAACCCAGGACAACCCTGGAGGGCTGGCTCTGCACAGACTGGGGCTCCCAGTTCCTCTCTGAACAAGCTCAGGGAAGAGGGGCACCCCCATCCCAACTTTCTTCCTCATAGCTTTCCCAGACTCATTTACAAAACAAACCTGCCCAGGGCAGAAAGTGGGAGAAAGGAACCCAGCCAGGGTCTCAGTCTTTCAGCCACATCTTCCATTTCTTCCTTGTTTCAGAAACATTAAAGCCCACACTGGGCTCCAAAGAATGCCAGTCTTCCAGGTACCTACTGAGCACTATATAGGGTGTAAGGAGCCTAGTGGGGGCATCTGCAATGACCTCACATTTGAACTTGGCCTGGTCTCCTTTCCCTCTACTCTTAGAAGATCCAGCTCACCTTTTTTTTTTTTCTTTTGGTCTTTTTGAGACAGGGTCTCCTTGTAGCCCAGCTGTCCTAGAACTCACTATGTAGACCAGGCTGGCCTTGAACTCAAGAGAGATCTGCCTGCCTCTGCCTCCCGAGTGCTAGGATTAAAGGCGTGTGTCACTACACCCAGCTGTAAGAACACTTAAATTTAATGAGTGAATGTATCCTCACTGTTTTGAAACTACACTGTAGGTCTTCTGTTACAATGGCCCCTACCATCAGCA